CTTCGTATGATACTTACATTTTTTTTTTGCTTTTACACTCCCTCGTGGATCCAATTAGGCTGCGAATGATAACCATTCTGTTTTTATTTCTCTGTTCCAGAAAAAAATTTGGAACAGAAATCCGTTTGGTAATTTCATTTTTCAATTTCTAGAACAAATTTTTGTTTCAGAAATAGGTTTGGAACAGAAATGAAAAGTAAAAATTTTTTACTTTTTTATTTTTGAAACAAAAATAAGAAAATTTTCTCATCGTTCGCCCTCGCTACTAACCGGTCGCCCACCTACCGCCCATCATTGTCCACTTGTCGGCTGCCGCCTCCCACCGAAGGCTACCGTGGGCTGCCGTCCACCGGCCACCATCTCCCGCCGCCGCCCATTGTGAGCCGCCACATGCCGTCCATCGGTCACTGTCTCCCACTGCCCTCCTCCTGCCGCTGCCCTCCTCTCGCTGCCGATCGTCGCCCACCTCCTGCTACTGCTTGACGTTGGCCGCCTCTAGCTGCCGTCCTCCGCACTGGCCGCATCATCGTCCGCCGCTGTCTCCCCCCACCATCCGCCCCCGCCATTCGCTACCGCCGTTTGTTGCCACCGTCCGCTCTTTTTCCGCCGCTGTCCCCCTCCTGTCGCTGCCCGACGCCGGTTGCTTCCAGCCGTCGTCCTCCACACTGGCCGCGTCGCCGTCAGTCGCCTACCGTTCGCTACCACCGTCCGCCGCCCGCCATCCGCCCGCCATCCACTCGCCGATCACTTGAGAAGGAGAAATTTTGTGCCGTTATTTAATAAATTTTTGTCTTGGGAACAGAAGTTTTGTGTCGTTATTAAACTTGTTTTTTTTATTAAAAACTCATTTATGTATAAAAATAAAAATTAATTTCTAAAACATAATGATTATCATTTGTAGTTGTAGTGACTTCTTGATCTTGTGACCTATTGAATCATGTACGACCATACGCAATCATATGGGGAAATGGTTCAAGGATTTGACTACGAGATTTAATTGAATTCAAGGTGAACAGAGATGGTTTCTCGGGGGAATAAAAGAAGATTTGGTCACTTCGTCCCACGTCTTGACCATTCCATGCTTACGTCGATTCCATAACAATGCGTGCACGTCGTTAATTTGACTCCTCCAAATATTAAATTGGAGTCTAAAATAGACTTAAGATAGACTAAATGGTGCAAGCATAAATGAGAATATAAATTGCATATTGCTCGCGTAACGGCTAAAAATAACGGATATTATTATTTTCTCCACTTTTGCTGATTATTATTATGTTTTCTGTTTACATGTGAAAAGCATGTCATCAGATAAAATTGCACCAATTTAATAAACCCGATATGATATTGAAAGAAGCAAGAAAGATGATTTTTTTTTGCGATAATCGTGTTTTCACAATGATGGATAATTCCATCGTTTTGTTACATCAAATGCACCCTACTTTGTGGAGGTAACTAAAACTCACTCGTCAGCCCGTACGATTTTGAAAAATATTCATGTTGAAGAATAGTTTAGAAAAATTCGTTATGGGAAAAATGAATTACTAAACTTTCAAGCAAGAGAAATAATATTTAAAAAAAAATTTGAACTAGCTTTGCCTAAACTAGTTTCAAAGATTGACTTGTTTTTTTCTCTTTTTGTTTAGATGAGATCTTCATAGACGCTTCTACATTTTAGGCAGCCTTATTTATTTTTTGGATTAATACCACGAAAAATTTCAAACTGATACATCTGTGATAAATTTACCCCAAACTATTTTTTTGACCATAAAAAAATCCAAACCGGTATATCTGTGACAATTTTATCCCGAACTAATTTTTAAACCACCAAAAACCTCAAACTGGTATACCCGTGACAATTTTACCCCGAACTAATTTGTTGACCTCCAAAAATCCTAAACTGGTATACCTGTGACAAATTTACCCTCTGTTAGTTTCCGTTAAATTTTAATGTCAAATTGCTAAATTTGATGACACGTGGTAGTTGACGGGTGTACCAGTTTGGGGTTTTACCCCTTTGTTTGTCACAATTTTACTAATTTGTGATTTTTCGTGATATTAATCCAATTTAATGGAGGGTAAATTTATCACAAGTGTATCAGTTTGAGGTTTTTGGTGGTCAAAAAATTAGTTTGGGGTAAATTTATCATAGGTGTACTAGTTTGGGGGTTTTTTATGGTAAAAAAATTAGTTCGGGGTAAAATTGTTACAATTGTACCAATTTGGATTTTTTGTGGTCAAAAAAATAGTTTTGGGTCAAATTGTCACAGGTGTACCAGTTTAGGTTTTTGGTGATTAAAAAATTAGTTCGGGGTAAAATTGTCACAGGTGTATCAGTTTAGGATTTTTTGTGGTATTAACTCTTATTTTTTCGTTTTTGGGTATATAGTAAAACAAGAAAATAGTCCTTAAATGTTGGGACTTTTTTTAATGGCGATTTGGGCTTTTCAAGGTTTAATATACCAATCAGTAAACATAAGTGTTTAGAATGAGATGAAATTTACCAACTATGAGATTGAAAAACTTAGAGGGTATGATGGTCAGCTGAGAATTAATTTCATATTCACAAGGCATTTTAATATGCAAAATTTTCTTTAACTATATCATAGTAATGATTTTAGTAACGAAAAATTTCATTTACCCTCCTCGATTTTGAGGTTGGTGCACGTTAAACCACGAATTTTAAAAAAAAAATTGCTTTCTACCCTCTTGAGCTTGCATTTTGTCATGCTCATTAACACCGCCAACTTTTCTATGATCGCATGCCGTGCATAAGCGTTTCGAAGTAGGGGTGAGCAACACGGACCGATCAAATCGGGAACCACTCGGACCAGACTGGCCGATTATGGGCGGTTCCCGAGGGCGTCGGTCCAATTCCCGGTTTCAGAGGGAAATTGGACTGCCTGAACCGGATCGATATATATATTTATTATTTATTTCTCACGCAAATTTCTTTCCCTTCCCTTCTCACGTGTCTTGCACGGAGCTATTTCGTTGTCTGTCTTTGTCATTTGTGTTTGGTAAGTCGTTCATAAAATTAACCACTATGAATAATTTATAAACTCTTAAACGGAGTATAACATTGACCAATTAATATCATAATGGGTTCGTGATGTGGTCAAATTCATGAACTTATCGTTGGAAAGGAGTAGTTTGGGTTCTCAATGTCTGGACATGATATGTGTGAGGGGTTGCATTTTGATTTCATCTTTTTCTCCCATTGGACCAGCCGAGGACCAATTCGGTCGGATCCCCAGTTCCAAAAAGTGGTGATTGGTTCTCAGTTCCTGGGTGGGACCGGACCGAATCGAGAAGCGATCACCCCTTATAGGGGTAAAGTGCATTTTTTCCCTTTAAAGTGTCAAAATGTCCTTTTTGCCTTTAAGTAATATTGTTATAAAATATGTACAAATGTAAAATTGCCACCATTAAATCAACAGCTTACTTGTTTAATCTATTTAATAGAGAAAAATATATAAATGAGCCGAGGATAAAAAATACTGGTTTAGCATTGAAAAATTTAGAAAAGAACCACTTTATATGAAATTATAGAAAACAAAAAATTTCAAGAAACTCGAAGTGGATACATAAATTAAGATTGATTTGAAATGAATGGATACTTTAGCATCTTCTAGCTGTTTTTAATTGCATAGCCTTCGTTAACAATATGACAACACCTAATTTAAACGTTAATTTAAATGCAACTTTAAAACATAATTTGGGACTATAAACATGCAGCAACGACAAAATTGGGGGCGCATTAAGTGTGATCGGTTCCCGGGTGGTCCTGTTCCGACCTAGGAACTGGGACTCGGCCTATCTGGTCTTGGAACCACATCGGACCCGGTCCGGATTCGGTTCCCGATTGGCCAATAGAACCAGTGGCATGTTCCGGTTTAACTTGCGGATGGTGAGCATCTCAGATGACTATCCTATATGCAATGCTTGGTACTTGATTCAAAGGTATCACATCAGCAAAGATTTAGACCAAATCCTCAACAATAGCCCTAATATTAGTCGGTTTTCACATAACATCACTATGACATTACTCTTTCTTCTTGCTCATAGACGTACCAAGATAGAAGATTTCGAACCTTGCCTTGCCGAGGAGAAATCCCGATCGCGATTACTGGTCGAACGGCATGAGGAGGTTCTAGATGGCGTCTCTAATGAAGATGTCCGCCGGTGACGAAGCTTCTAGCGAGATTGGTCCACCTCGAGTCTCCTCGGCCAGAAGTAGAGATGAACAAGAGAGAAGAGGCACGGTTCAGAGATGGCGAGAAACGACCACGGAGATGATTGACGGCACCAAAAGCGTGATGGGGAGGTTCTCCAAAGTGATGATGTGAGTTCAAATCTTCGATATAAGTAGGAGCGACACGACTCAAACTCTCCTTTGAAGGTAGCCGGTAACGAAGCCCCTAGGAATTAGGGTTTTGAATGAAAACATGAAATTTTTTAAAAAAATACATATAAATCAGTCCAATACGGATGGACGGTTCTACACATGAAACTGGGAATCGGACCAATGCTCTAGAGAACTGCCCAAAACCGATTAGTTCAGTCCGGTTCGGGCGACTTTCCTGTTCGGACAATTCCTTTTGCTCATCCCTAGGAGCACATTGAAATTTCATTGTATTTTTCCCCTTCATTGGCATTGGCATTTCTTCTGCTGACATTTTCTACTACTCTGGGTATCTCCTGTTTAGTCGTACATCGTCGTCTGCATCGGTCATCATCATCAAATTCTCAATAATCCAACATTTGGCATCTTCATTAAGCACATACCCCCCATATTAAACAAAGCACTGATCCTACTCCACATCACCCCCCCTCCTCTTCATCTTCGTCTTCATCAATCAATGACAAACATGTCATCCTCCCTCTCCCTCTCTCTCACGATCTCCACTTTGATTCTTCTCCTCCACTCACCTCTCTGGTCTGGACCACTATATAAATCCTGCCTCCCTCGCCCCTACCCCATTCTTCCTCTTGAACCCTCCTTCCTTCACACCTCTCTCTCTCTCTCTCTCTTCTTTCTCTCTCTACTGTTGCGTAGGTACGGAGATGGGATATATATAGAGGCGACCGCATAGCCTGCGAAAAGAAGCTGACAAAAGGCAGCGACGACGAAGAACGACGACGACAGCGTCCTTTCACTGCAGCTACGCACACGTACTTGCACGCTTCGATCCCTTCCACTGCTTTCCCACCCGTCTTCTCTCTCTGCCCTCCTTCCACACCCTCTGCTGCCTCGGTTTCGCTCGCCGGCCGAAGCCCACCGGGAGAGGCGCTTTGGGTCAAGCATGCTGGAGACCGTGAAGTACCTCCTCGGCTCCGTCGGCCCCAGCGGGTACGGCTCCAAGTCCACCGCCGAGCAGGTCACCGACCGCCGTGACCTCCGTTCCATCACAGCCATCATCACCGGTAACCAAAAACTCGGGCTCCCGGCCGGGTTTTCCCGCTCGTTAGTTTAACTTCGGTGCCGAAGGGGACTGACGAAACTCGCTGATGATGGTTGTTGATTCAGGTGCGACGTCCGGGATCGGAGCCGAGACGGCCCGGGTGCTGGCGAAGCGCGGCGCGAGGCTGGTGCTCCCGGCGCGGAGCCTCAAAGCCGCCGAGGACGCCAAGGCCCGCATCGCGTCCGAGTGTCCGGGCTCGGAGATCGTGGTCATGGCGCTCGATCTCAGCTCGCTCACCTCCATCCGCAACTTCGTCGCCGAGTTCGAGTCGCTTGGCTTGCCTCTCCACCTTCTCATGTACGTGTCAATCATCTCAACACGTTTTAACAGCAAGAAAATAACTCCGGCGAATGCTAACTCCGACTTTCTGCTAATCGTCGTTCCTTTCCCGTCGCTGTTACAGAAACAACGCCGGAAAATTTGCGCACAACCACGCCATCTCCGAGGACGGAATCGAGATGACCTTCGCGACGAACTATCTCGGTAAGAACGCCGCGCAAGAGTCGTCCTCCGGCGATCTTTTTTCAGATATTTCGAATCTTGGAGAAAGTTGGTCAGTTTGGTGGTCGTGTTTATTTTCAGGTCACTTTCTGCTGACGAAGCTGTTGCTCAACAAGATGGTCGAGACGGCGCACGCCACCGGCGTGCAAGGGCGGATCGTGAACGTGTCGTCGACCATCCACGGCTGGTTCTCCGGCGACATCATCCGCTATCTCGGACTCATAACCCGCGACAAAAGGTAAATAAACGGAGCGAAATCCATACATTTTATGCAAGCTTTGTACGGATTTCATCTAGTTCTTGCGCTAGGTGACTTAGTTTGGCCTTTAGATCGCATACATCTCGATGTAATTTATCATAAAAACATAAGTTTTTGGAATACCCAGAAACAAGTCTACGTCGCGCTTTGAGAATTCTTAATTTTTTGGGATTCCTTCGGAAAAAAAAGAAGATATTATTGGTACATTGATGCTTGTACGAACTGGCACGCACTGTAAATCGCAGAGACAACTTGTTCATGGAGCTATAAATGAAGTAAATTTGACTTCTGCAATGCAGTCACTACGACGCCACACGTGCTTATGCTCTCTCGAAGCTGGCCAACGTTCTGCACACCAAGGAGCTTGCCCGGAGACTGAAGGTCCGCCTTATTTTTTATTATTAATTTTCGAGAAAAAAAGTGAATTTTGTTCTTTTGCTATTATATTCTTTATTGCTATCTCTCACCATTTTTTATATAGGTTGAACCTGTTTTCGTTCCTAATTTTAATGGAAAATTGTGTTGCAGCAAATGGAGGCGAACGTGACCGCGAACTGTGTTCATCCGGGGATCGTGAGAACCAGGCTCACCAGGGATCGAGAAGGCTTCGTCACCGGTCAGTGATCGGCTCCCGTTACCTTTGAATGCGTGGTTTGTTAGTTTTCTGTGCTCATTTCTTGAATATGGTTCTGAAATGTATGCAGATCTGGTTTTCTTCTTGGCCTCCAAGCTTTTGAAGACGATCCCTCAGGTACTTTCCAGTTACCACTTGATCCAAGATGGGTGTCTTGTTTGTTTTACTTTGCGATACATATGAAATACGACAGACAAGAATCTTGTAGATCGTGGTAAGATAAGGGTTTCAAGAATCTGCCCGAGTGGTTTCTCGCAACCTGAGGAAAGATTATTCTTAAGAATTTAATTAAATGTGTACTCAAGACATAAAAGAACGAGCCTCTTTCAAATTCATGTATAACTTCACATGTTTGAACTGAGTAACTATCCATGTGTGACACCAGAAGTCCCCGCAGCTTCTATGTGATCTATGTAATCTGATGAATCAAAACGGTTTCGTTTACAGGCTGCTGCGACTACATGCTATGTCGCGACGCACCCGAGGCTGGCGGACGTGTCGGGGAAGTACTTCTCGGACTGCAACGAAGCATCGACTTCGAAACTCGGATCCAGCTTGCTCGAAGCCACGCGGTTATGGTCCGCCTCGGAAACTATGATCTCCGGAGACCCGAAAGCGGCTTTCGACCCGCTCGATCCATCGCGTTGATGAACAGGAGATGTGCACAAAGGAAAAGCAAAGTTTGACAAAGACATAGGAGGGAAAATGGAAACCGAACAAAGGGAGGAAAAAGGAAGAGAGGAAAGAAAGGAAAATCTACTAGATTATACGTATCTAGTTCTAAAGGGAGCCGGTCCAAGGAGAAGAACCCCAATATTAGAAAGCTAGCTAGCTAGCGGGTGGGCAAAACTGAAAGAGCAAAAAAAATACTGTGTACAGCATTAAACTAGCATACACTACAACAATCAGCAAAGATATCTATGTAGTTTTGTACCTTGTATGCCTTCTTTTTCTCCTACTCTGTTGGTTGATACATGTTAGGCAGCTTCCTGTTGGCAGTTGTTTAGCACCTTGTGTGGGACTAAGCAAAGTTAGATTAAGGTTTGGTTCCTGCGATGATGATACTATGATTGTGGAGGATCGTGGCGATGGGGCTTGAATAATGGTGATAATGGGAAGTGCTTAGATAACTTTTTTATGCTCTAGTTAGGGTGCATAGAGAAAGAGAAAAGAATTGGGGAAATTAGGGGGAAAAAATTAAGTGGGGGAGAAAAATTTTAAGAACGTGGGGTCGGTCGCCACCCCGTCATGTGGTGGTTTTGTTATATTCTCTTTCTCGAGTATCTTTGAGAGGTGGTGGTGGTGGTGGGGTTTTGCCAACGTGAGCCGCGAGGTTGAGGGTTTGGGGAGGCCATGCGTTCAAGCAAAGGAAGCTTCTTTTGAATGGTGAATAGCTCCCCCTCCTCTCCTAGGCATCCGGCTAATAGGCCTCAATCAAGTCAAAAGGTGATTGTATGTACAAATCTGTAGATGATGCAAGAGTGAGACCGCAGTTATGATTTGAAACATGGATGTGTGTGTGTGTGGTGTGTGTGTGGGGGAGGTAGGACACGAGTTCGGTTACCGGGAAAATTATTTAAAAACAGTGCTAGATTTATTACGCTTATATTAATTCAGTCATAAACCTTTTGATTTGGCCAATCTAGTCTTAAGACTTTTGACAATTTACCAATTGAGTCTTTCTAACCAAGCTTGGTCGGAAATCGTAAACGTAGATGCCGGCTGTTCTATGTGGCATGACTGACGCTAATATAGGCAATTTTAAAAATTTATTGTTTTTTTGAATTTTGTATTTTTCTTTGTTTTTCTTTTCCTTGTGGCTGGCAAGAGTCACAAAGGTCATCGCTAGATTGGGTGAGCCCCTTGCGAGCCGCGAAGGCCTCGCCCGCGGCAAGCAAGGACACAAAGGCTCTAGGCAAGGCCATCGCAACCACGATGAGCACAATGAAAAAATGAAGCAAAGAAAAGAAAAATTCAAAATTCAATTTTGTTGGACGGCCAGTGTCTATGCCAGCGATTTCCGATCAAAATTGATCAGAAGGACTCAGTTGGCAAATTGTAAAAAAAAATGATGACAAAATTAGCCAAATTGAAAGGTTTAGAACTAAATTGATATGAATGCAATAGATTTAACACTTTTTTGGTAATTTTCCCTTTGGTTACCCATGTCAATAAGTGCATATAATTTTACATATGAGCTACGCATCCAGATTCATGAGCTTAAGGACATATCTTGCCTGCCTAGACAAGCTTTCTCATCTAAAAGCCAATGTTAATGACCTAAGGCTAATCGATCTATTTAAATTTAAATTGCTTTCAATTTGTATGTCAATTTAATAAATTTAAGATCCTACTCGGATGAGTAGTAAAATCACAACAATTTATTTCTATGCGAAGATTAAAGGTTTATTTGTTTCGTGAAAAACAAATTATTTTGAAAACATTTTTCAAATAATGATCACTTGAATTGTTTACAAAAATGAACGAACAAAAAATATTTTTATAGTCCACGAAAATATTTTCCATTGAATAATTATTTCAAGCGATACAAATGACCATTTTTAAGAAAATATTTTTCAAATTATTCATTTTTCGCGAAATAAATAGAGTCTAATTATTGGAGACTACTGAAGATAAATAACTAAACCCGAAATCGAAGAAAAACGATATCCAAGTAAAGTCTGTGTTCGACCACTATTCAAATTGAACCTAACTTGTATACAAAGAAAGCAAAACGTGGGATTATGTGAGAATCGATGTACTTGAACCGGGCCTCGATCCATATCCAAGAGATTTAACCTCGAAATGATCCAAACACGAAAACTACCCATACTTGAAGCAACATTTCGATGTCGACCCAACTCGCCCGTTTGCTACCTTAAGTTCTATCTCCTCCGCGTCTGTACTGAGCATGGGAATCGAATCCCGCGCTTGTTATACTAGAGTCCCCACCCACCCCCAATTCCCTTGTATCACACGTGCCCAGTGGCACCTTGGGTTTTATCTGGTTTGCATCTAGAACTAGTAGTCATTGACTACCCGCATCACACCAAACCATTTTTAAAGGTGGGTTTGGTTTAGGTTGGAATTTGGCTTGGGCTTCTAAAAATCCTTAGGCAAATGCCAAAAAGTGTCTGGCAACTATTTTTTGGAGCCTATTTGAGAAACGCTAGCATTTCCAAAGTCCCTTAACCCAAGATTGATGGGGACTTGCGTTGGGCTTTCAGAAGCCATCCCTAGGGTTTAATGATTGCCCTCATTAAATCATCTAAATTCCAGTTCTACCCTCACGTCACGCACCAATCTCTCTCCCTCCTCCTTTCTCCTCCATCGCGCCGCTACTCGACGCGCCATCTCCGGCGTGCCAGATCCGTCTCGCCGGCGTCCGGCCGTCGCAAGTAAATTTTCTTTTATTTATTTAAAATACATAGGCTAAAATCCTTTACAGGTTTCGTTATTTCCAAAATAGCATTTAAATCGAAGTTGATTTTCAGGGCACTTTTCACTATTTGAATTTCGGAAAAAAAACCCTTTTCTACCTAAATCTTTGCATTTCCTTAAAAGACTTCCCCAAATGCCGAACCGAACGCAGCCTCAGACTCAAAAGAGGTCACGTGCCTTAGATTTTCATTAGAGGCGTGAAAGAAACACCACCGGGATGGCCCAGGCCCAATTTCGGGGCCCAATGCGGCCTCGTTTTGACCTTCCATCTTCCCCTCCTGGCCCAAAATTCAGCCCACAGCCGTCGAGGCCCTAAAACCCTAACGAAGACCAAAACTCCCTCCCCTCCGCCACGCTAAAACCCCCCCCCCGAAAAAAATCCCACCAGCTCCACCGCCGGGACCGCCTCCGTCCTCCGCCGACCCCCGCCGCGAAATGGCGGCCCTCGTCCCCGACGCCGTCCGGAAGGTGTTCACCCCCGAGACCCTGCGCGCCGCCGCCAAGCAGTCCGACGGCTGCCTCGCCGTCCCCGTCCGCCTCCGCCGCGCCATCAAGAAGTACCTCCGAGGTCCCTCGCTCTCTCTCTTCTCTCTCTCTCCAGATTCACTTCTTCTCTGCACCTGCCTGGAAATGACTTAGCATCGCCCTTTAACTCCCGTTGCGGTTGGTCTTCTTTCGGAATTGCAGAGCTGGAGGAGCCGTACCTCAGGAGGAAGGTCCTGAGGCTATCCGCCTCCTTCAGCGAAATCAAGGACGTCAACCTGCTGCTGGCGGCCTCGACGTCGAAGGAGCTGGTCGAAGATCCTCTGAAGTCGGTGGAGAGCTCCAAGAGGTGGAAGATTAAGAGCGCGTACGGCGATATCGGTCTCAAGTACAGGGACGACGAGACCGCCGCTTATGTCGCTTCGCGGATGCCGGCCGTTTACTCCGCTTGCTACAGAGTCCTCAAAGAGGTACGGGAAGTAGTAATTTTGCGGGGGGGGAAAGGTGTGTTGTGGTATTGTCTTTCCGGAATTGTATCTTATGTGATTGGTTGAGGAAGGTGTTAGCGGGCGTTTTCAGTGGATCAAATGAGCATTAGCTCAAAACTAGGAGAGTTATGGAAGAAGAAAGAAAGTTGCAATATAGAGAAACTTGAAGGATTACTTGGTCACAAGAAAAGTACGAGTAAAAACTTCAGTCAAGGACCCATAGAAATGGCATTTGAGAAAAGAAGCAACTTTGTTAAATTTTTTGCTGAATGAGGTGTGGCTGTGCTCGATTGAACTATACTTCGCCATGTTGTATTTGCGGTTTTCCCTGCCTCACGAGCAGCCAGAGAATGCATCTTGGAATTGAAGTTGAAAGGTTTAGGATGCTTGTGCAGTAATGAGAGAACTTTTGATGTCATCTTTCAGGTACGCAGAAGGTTACCTGATTTCTCTCCAGCTAGAGTGTTAGATTTTGGTGCGGGCACGGGATCAGCTTTCTGGTAATTGAAATGGATGCGAAATAGTCTGTCGCCCACTTTTGATGCAAAAGTATGGTCTAACTAGATCAACTATCGCAGGGCACTCCGGGAAGTCTGGCCACAGTCTGTTGAGAAAGTTAATTTGGTGGAGCCGTCTCAATCAATGCAGCGTGCTGGTCGGAGCCTCATACAATGTAATTATTGGTCCTCTATCTGGCTTTGCCATATCTTTTGATGCAAGTACGATAATCAAAATTTGTAAGTGTGTAAATAAGGGATTCTAGCAGATTTACAGAATTAAATGGGGTGACTCTAGTCAAATTAACACTTTTACTGCTGCATGAGCGTCATATGATAGTGCTGCTCTGTAAGAAAGTGGTTACGCTCTCACCCTGTCAGGTTCTGTATGATATGAGACTAGGTGATGCCACTGTCACCCGTTAGCTGCATTAGTATTCGTATCTTCATCAAAACTCATCAATATGCTGATCAAATTTCACGCAGAATGATATCTGGCTAATGCGTTAATTGCTTAGGTATGAAGAACTTGCCACTTATTCATAGCTACGATAGCATTCAGTCACTTTCAAAGAACCTCAGCAAGTCCGAGAGGAAACATGACCTTGTGATTGCTGTAAGTTATTCTCTTCTCGCCTTGTTACCTGCAATTGGACAATAGATTCTTACTGTTCTTTCGATCTGAATATGGGCATACTCTTCTCTGCATTTACTGTCTGTATGTTTACTGACCCATGTCCTTTGGAGTATTTGAAATTTTTTAGTCCCTTAGTGCTGATTAATTCTATTTTTCTTTCTGAAGTCATACGTGCTAGGAGAGATACCCTCACTCAAAGATCGAATTACAACAGTTCGTCAGCTGTGGGATCTCACAGAGGATGTTCTGGTATGTTGAAAATTTCATCGTTGGGAGTCTTCCATAAATTAATAACAAATCCTTTCTACTTTGACCGTTAGACTTTTCCACTCTCTGGCTATAGTATTTCCACTGTTAGCATTTTAAATGAGGACAAAACTTCAGATTTTAGTTGAACCGGGGACACCTCATGGATCTAAGATCATAGCTCAGATGAGATCTCACATATTATGGATGGAAAATAGGGTAAGTTTCCTTCCATGTTGTTATTTAGAAGTTGAGTAACTGTGATTTTGTAAAAATAAATCGTATGCTTGATTTCCCATTTGTGATGTTTTGTTTGCTCTGCTCATGTTGTAATAGCATATTCATGACTTCCTAGAAATTGCGCAAAGCTGCAAAACTAAATCAGGACTGTAAGGATTTGGTGGCTCTCAAAAGCGGGGTCTTTATAGTTGCTCCTGTAAGTCCAAATCAGATTCTACCATCTTTACCTCTCTCTCATGGTTTGTGTTGATTTCTGTGTTGCTCTGTTGCCCTAGCATTCTTCTTCATCTTGTTTCTCTCTTTGATGGAGCTGTTATTGCAGTGTCCTCATGATGGGCGATGTCCATTAGAGAATACGGGGAAATATTGCCATTTTGTTCAGCGTTTGGAGAGAACATCTTCCCAGCGGGCTTACAAGGTTAGTTATTTTTTCTAGGTTGCGTTGCCTTAATTCTTCAACATATTATAAACATCATGTATTACCATCATCCTCTTCAGTATGGTTTGTTCATGGATGTGATAATGTTTAATGAGGATAATATGCAGGACTGTGAGCCGGTATCTATGTTAATTATTCTGGGGGTTTTAGTGCTCTTCTCATTAGTCAAGATATCATCTCATGTTACTTAGGTTGCTGTACTTTGCCATGTTTTAGCTCATTATATGTGTCTGCCACACAATTTAATTTTTATTGGAGTCACTATTCACATTTTATGGAGTTAAGGTTTTGATTCAGGACTTCTATCTTGATTTGACATTTAGGCTTCGAGATAATTTATAAGTGTTTATTATAGCATGTCCAGGATAGTCATCCCATCATGTAATACATTGTAAGGGATGAAAAGTATAAGTAAACTTTGGGAGTATGATGAGAGCTTTTGTTGCCAATAGAGATGTATATTACATTAAAGATAGTTGGCTCAATAGTCAATACTCTATCTCCCGCTATTGGAGAAGTTTTTGATTGATGATGCATATTCCCTTGAAATTCTTGCAATTGCACTCGTGATATTTTTGGTGCATTGGGGTTATTCTTGGGTGATATTCTCCCTTAGAAGAATTAATATATGCTAATCGCTGTTAAAATTCTGCAATTATGTGAGGGGACTTTTGTGTTCTGCTAGCAGTGGATCATTAATAAAGCTCTTTCTCATTATTCTAATCTAGACTTGATTCGACATATTTTGAGTTATATTTATGCTACTCCCGTGTCATTTCAGGATGTCATATAACTGGTTAGAGCTGAAATGTTCTTTTCCACACTCTCGTCTAAAGACGGGGATGGGTAGATTACCAGGATACTGATACTGGAATGATTGATTTGCATTATGTCTCATTTTGAATGCCATTGCAACTCTCACATGGCAGTTTCTCTAGGGGTTTTGATAAAATCTTGGGAGTGCAGAAAATGGCTATTTGGCGAGCATGAGTATTAATTTTCAAATTCACTTTCCTTAATCTGTTGCCACTATTAGAGGCGATGTATAAATATTTGTCTTGGAAGCAATTTTAATGCATGCTTCAACACGAGGGCCAATGTGTGATTAGAACTTATCGTTCCTGATAAATATCTCTCTTTTGTAGCGCTCAAAGGGTGAGCCTTTACGAGGTTTTGAAGATGAGAAATTTTGCTTTGTTGCTTTCAGACGGGGACAACGACCTAGGTAAATGTGTGGAGTTTTGTTTTCCTCAAATTTTCCTTCATGTATGATATTTCTCACAGAAGATCTGTTAAGGTTAAACTGATTTTTAAATGGTGACAGAATGAATTCCTAGGACCCTGTCTTAAAGGATAACATGAGGAAGAGTACTTAAACCTATAGTTGATTGATGTATGGTTTGATTCTAATGACAAGGATGATACATTAGCATTCTCTCTGTCGTATCACTTTGACAGTTGACACAATTTTTGTGAAAATATGTCCTTTATTGGAATTTGTCTAAAGCAAATGCTTGAGGCGATTTTCTTGTTCTTTCAGAGCATTTCTGTCTTGCATTGTGATGGTTGACTCAACCTCTATGCTTGACTGACTTGACAGGGGAGCTTGGCCACTGGATGACATAAAATTTGAAACATTGAAGGAGCTGCATGCTAAGAGAAATCCTGAGGATCTTGAAATTGATCTTGGTATGGACATGTGCACTTGCATAATTCATACTCTCTTTGTTTCACTCCATAATTGGCATCTGAAACTCAATGTTGCTCTTTCTTGTTTCACTATTGCATGCGTCAAGAACTTTCACTTGATGTATGGACTTGTTTTATTGAGATCTCTTATTAGTGTTCAATTTTTACTCCCTTCAATCAGAGGACTACATGAAGATGCAGTCAGTTGAGACTCCACATGAAGAGATAGATCCAGTTTCATATGATTCCGACGTCGTAGAATCAGATGTAATTGATGAAGATATCGACGAGGAAGGTGATGAAGAGGAGTCCATCCGTGCTGATCTCGGAGGTGGTTGGGGCAGGATTATCTTTACTCCTGTTCGTAGAGGCAGGCAGGTTGCAATGAATGTGTGCCGGTCAACCAAACGCGATGGCTCGGAAGGTGCATTTGAGCGCGTGGTGGTCACAAAGAGTAAGAATCCCAATTTGCACCATCAAGCTAAGAGATCTCTCTGGGGAGATTTGTGGCCCTATTGAGATTAAAGGTTTTGTCTCCATTCGTCCTTTTTTTCTTCTTTTTGGATTGTTGTACTTGTCTGTAAATAAAATCATAGGAGATTCATTTTTTGTTACAAACCGCTTCTCTCGCTGTTCCTGCTTAAGATTTTGTTATTGGCATAGGTATTTTATTGGCAAAAATCGCTCAAGGGAAAGCAGATGAATAGTTGTTTCATCTTTTGTTGTCTCCAGCACCTGGACAAACCTTGCTAGAGACAGAAATTTGAGTTTTGGTCTCGATGTCTGCTTCCGATGCCGTATTAAATTTCATTAGTGTGTTGAGTAGAGACTCAGTGCCATGAGTTCTAATGTGATAATCTTTTGTTTGCTGAACCATCCTTTCCCCAGTTATCGACACCAGTTGACGACTGCGTGCTGGCCTTGTCTCAAATTCTTCAAACCCTAATTCGGAAACCCAAATTAAGAGTTGAATCTTACAATGGAAAGCATGAGCAGGACAAGCAGCTCGAATTCGTTTCAACAAAGCCAAGGACAAAGGTTGAATTTTGGGAGAAGATTCCATAGATGCGCCTAATCTAGAGGAGGTTTGAAGTGCAAATATTTCAGATGGGTCGATGTAAAATTTTCAAGTCAAGTAACAAAGGTGATCTTGGATTTACTTAAAGGATGACATCAATCTCCACGTACACTGAATCAAGTCACTCACCTTTTTATTGCTATGAGATTCCTCGCTCGCTCGCGCGACCGGCGATTTCGAACGGTGAACCAGAGTGAGTGTCGAAGTCGAGGGAAAGACGACGATAGAGAGAAATCTGTCTTTTTGAGAGAATGACTTGGTGCCGCGTCATTTAGGCCAAGACTAGCCACCTCATAGTTTCCGTTAGACTTGTTTTTCTATTAAAGTTTCATTACAAAATGTCTACGTCAGCGCCGGTCATGCCATGCAAGACGGCTGGCGTGGACGTTGGCGATTTCTGGCCAAAATTGGCAAGATGGTCTCGATTGGCGAAATGTGAAAAAATGTTTAGGATTCAATTGACACAATAGAAATGTTTATGAGTGAATTAGTACAAATAGATATATACTTTTTTGGTAATTTTCCCTCTGTAATGAGTTTCGTAGTGGATTTCGCCTCCCGCTTTTCGACCGTATCGCAATGCGACGCTAGCTTACCTAGCGAAAAGTGGCCCAACTTTCAATCGATGGACTCGTGATTCAAAGCGAAGGTGCATCAAACTCGCCCGGACGGAGGACCCGACAAGAGCAATAATTTGCCAGACAGGCTACATAACTCGGGGTCGTCCTTGGGACGAAAATGATGTAAACAAGCCATAGAATGAACTCATTAATTTCGCTAAGTCAAGCGGAAATGGTACACGCGGTGCACTGGACGGTGGTAAGTTACTAACAATAAGCCAAGCGAGTACATCGCTTTGCATTTCCTCCCATGGCCAGGGTCAGGCGGTCCCCGACATCCTAATCCTAGTCGCTAATGTATGTACGCAGGACCATCGTCGGGCCTTGTCCTAATCACGTCTCTCTCCCTCTCTTTTTCCAGAAAACTACTTCCTTCATTGAGAATCTCTTCTTCTGTTTTAGGAACATGCCCTTCGCGAGGACAAATCAGACTCTCCCCCCCCCTCGATCGAACCTCAAGAGAGATTAGCAGCTTCGTAAAAGCATCAGAGGTAAAGGAATCACGGCCTAGTTCACGTGAACGCTCGAGGTCTTTGAACGCAGGTCGTCTCGACCCAAGTAAAGCGGATCGAACGGTCACATGAACTCTATGACGAAACACCGGTTCATATGACTCGTAAGTTACGCAGTAATTGCTCCGTCGGTCCTCGGCCCCGGCCCCGAGGGCTTCCCCCATCATGATGGGGATTGTCTTATACGTGCAGGTGTTCCCATCACATGGGGGGTGGGGGTGGATCACAAGAGTTCTTCCCACCGCGGTGCTACAAAAGAAACAAAAAGGGCAAGGAGGAGGAGGAGGACGAGAAGGTGTGGGGATGGAAATGAGAGGTGCTTTAAATGGAAAATGGCGGAGGACCGGACGGGCTCCACACACGTTCCATGTGAGCTGTTGGGAAGTAGTAATACATAGGCAAACCAAAAGAGGAAAAAAAACAGAAGAAGGGGACAGCGGCGGGGGAAGTGACAAAAGCAAGGGGAAAAACAAACGGCATGCCTTCTTTTATCACGTCATTCTCTGTTTTGTATCGAAAAGGGCGGGACAGAAAAACTGAAGAATATATGGAGGCCAGCGAAGTGATATTTCGCGGTCGTTTAATTAGGATTAACATTTCCGCTAATTTACACGAATCATCGGATGTTTCCACATCGAAGTCGGCGAATTTTCAGCGTTCGTTCAGGGTACCGTTAACTTCATTCTTCGCAAATATTACCGTGCACGGGCATTTTGGCTTTTCTTTTAATCTTGGGCACGTGAAACTTTCGCGGTCCTATTAAGCTCGACGCGTGGATCCACGTCTAGTTTTTTTTTTTTCTCTTCACGGCACTTTTTTTTTTTCGGAAAAATCTGGCTTGGACATGGACGGTCAAATTGCATGGGCAAAGGAAAAGCGGTAATTTCGTGTTTTTACGCGAGTGAAAAATGGGTTAATCGGTGTACTTTTTTTTTTTTTTTTAAATTTATGAATAAGATACTTTCTGAGAAGAAGGATACAAAATTGCCCCGAGCAGCATTAAAGTCCAAAAAATTCGGTACCACCTAATCTCTCCACGCAATTTAAGAAAGTCTCCTCCTCCAGTCGGACCACGACACGTGGCGCCCAATTTCAAAGGTTCACCTCGACGTTCGTACTCATAAGCCCACCATATTCATTGTATAGGAAATTACCGTATAGTAAAGGATCAGATTGAACGAAAGTTCGAATTTTATTCAATGTCAAACACGCGAAACCTTCACGACATATTAAATATGACTTGTAAAGTTATTTCTAGGCTTAAATTAACTATCGTACCCTCTAACGGTACATGAATCTCTCGCTGAAATTCAAGAAAAGGATCTCCCGATGAAAAAAATACTCGGCGAGAGGTGTATTAATTCGAAGCCGCTGACATATTAAATCTGACATTGAACGAAATTACCGTATAGTAAAGTCATGCAAAGCCGCTGCCCAACATTGAATAAAATTCGAACTTTCGCGACCGAATTTGGCAAATGGATATTACAAATCGATGCCGGTGATAAATATTGGGCAGCGGCTTTGCATGAAGAAATTGATGGGAGAAGATACGGTTTGTAGACATAAGAGTGGACGATTTTCACCTGCCGCACTTCACCATCACTTTACATTCAAAGAAATCTTACCCGTCAAGTACGAAGTTAAGAATTTTGAATTCTATCCGAATGGTCGTAACTTTTCGTAAAAATAGTTCCTCATCCTCAGTTTCTTCCACGAGCAGAATCGTTTTCAAAATATTCTTGTGAAACCAAACATATCAATGTTCTGCGACCGGCCAAAGGGTGACAACCGGCGAGGGGCCTCGGGTGAGTCTCGCTTCGCTAAATCCGGCGAGGTCGAGCTTGGCTCGAACCTGGCGAGGCCGACCCTTACCAATCGTCGCCTGTGGCCAGTCACCGGCCATCGCCGAGGCTTGGCGACTGGCGGGCGACTGGCGACGGAAGAAGAAAAAAGAAGAGAGAAAAGAAAAGGAAAATAAAATAAATAATCCTAAAAAAATAAATAAAAATTGTTCGCGTTAGCGCTGGCCGTGCCACGTAGGACAACATGCGTCCACTTCAGCGATTTCCGGCCAAAATTGGTCAGGTAGACTAAATCGGCAAATTTTCAAAATGTTTAGGATTCAATTAATACAATTGAAATGTTGATGGCTGAATTGGCACAGGTGCAACATGTTTATGACTTCTTTGGTATTTTTCCGTCCACCAAACCTTCGAGGAAATACGGCACCCGAAAGACTTTGGCTCGTCCTTTCGGGACACTTTGTCAAAGATGCGAAACCTCTCATTTGGGATTTCGAGTTGAAAAACAATAAAAGGTTTAAATCTTAGACCAGTTGGGATCAATTCAGATGTACCCTTTCATCCCTGTCTTCACATTGAGATCATCAGTTTTCCAGTGGAATTAAAATGATTATAATGGTATTTGTTTCATAACTATAACATAGCCATTGAATTCCCTACATCCACTGTGCACAGGATCGTTAGTGCCTTCCGTACTAAACATTTTCAGAAACATGCTATCTTAAGCATTTTGCAGAGGTTCTCGAACAGCTTCACTAAAGTGCAGAGCTCCAGAGCCTGAAGTCCACACAACTATTTTCTTCCGCATAGAATGTCAACATTATGTCCCGTGACTAACAGAACAAATCAATTGTCCTTGTCCTATTGCTCAATTGTACAGATCTTTTGAATTCGCTTTCAAACAAATTTACAGAGTATATCGAGTACTTTCACAAGATCCTATGCGAAGAGAATAAAATTGTTCCGAAGTTTCTTTGGTCCGCAGTGCTTATCAAGAGGAAATGACATGAGATTATTTCCACGCATATCATACCACCAGAGAGTCCATCCCCCAGGCATTAGATGAGTACAAGCATAATCAACCAGAACCAATGGATCCTTCTCAAGATTCATGGGACTTCGCGGAATCTTATCTTGAAGACATGTGTTAGCTTTGATGAAAATCCTAATCTTCACCTAGATCGTGGACCTATTCATAGGTGATGGAATCTTTCAGAGTACACGTGACTACTTTATTAAAGTCCACAGTTGTAAACTTTATTGTGTTGTTGAGTCTATACCTAATCTTTTTAGCTTAGTGTCAGATAACTCTCTTGTATTCCTTGCCAGTTTGTAATATGCTTTGTTGGCCATACTGGTCATGAAAAATGTGTGTATTACCCTTAACCTCAGCTATATAGGCGATGTGATGCTTGAATTAAAAATGGCAGTCAGGAAAAGAGAAAATTTTCCAAAATTCTACTATGTTCTCTCAAATATTCTTGTAAACCTTTCTCCTTTAGACCAGGTGACATTTGAAGGACATCATTACAATTTCAATCCATTAGGATGAGCTGGTTCGACAAGTATTCTATCAACCTGCCACTTTAAGTGGATCCCGTGGATGAGAAAGCTTTTCTGAGGCCAGAGAGCTGTAAGATGCACATTTATGGTATACGCGCACCAATAGACAAACTCATTTAATGACCGAGAGGAAGGGCCTGTGTGTTGACAAACTCATACCCATCTCGAATCTCCATTGGTCTTCCTCTTAATCACCTCACACTCCCTGACAAGAACTCTAATTTGACTACAAGGCAAGGGCATTATGGCCCGAGTATAGTTTCTAGACCATTCTCTACAACATTATTGTTAGAAAAAGACCAATAATACATCCAGGTACAGTGATGCTGTCTTTCATCACAGCTTCCGTTACGTGTAAGCGAGCTTTAGTAACATGTCAAACACAAGATATGAGAGGGGACATGAGTATTGAATCTTTGATTAGTGCAACAATACAATACTATGGACATCTAAAGCATACCATAGCACTAGACTGCAACATGTAGAAGCTATACACAGCTTGATTGAGAAGTTCGTCATTGTTATCACGGGAACAAAAAACACAGTAAAGGTGGGGTGGAAGAAGAAGAAGAAGGGAGAGAATTAAACAGAATTTAGAAGACGGAAGATAATAAATAGACACGTGAAGGGTTCAAAAAAATTCTTAGAAAAACCCAACAAAAATTAAAAAAGAAAAGGGAGACTTCTCCAATGGACGATCATTAACATGGGACACTGGACCAAACTGCTCCACTCACACATTCCAACTCAAATGATGAAAAAAATCAAATCAATAAGGAATCCACGAAAGATTCCAGTTGCAGGTGATCCTCCGACTTGAGCAGCTCGTGATACTCCTCAAAAATCTTCTCCAGCATCTTCTTATTGTTGTTGGGCAACCAAATACGATGGCATGGGGAAGAAGATGATGTGTTTTTGTTATCATTGGAGCGGATCATCTCATCGCCACCAGTACCACCACACCCTTCAACATCCACCATGTCATTGTAATCTTCATCATCGCAGAACCAGTTATGTTCTTTAGCCTCGCTGATCATCCATGAAAGATCATTGTCACCATAAGCATTGTTACTGTTGATGATCGCATCATTGCTCTCATGCTTATCGTGCACCGTTACTTCTTCGTCAGCGACCTCCACATTCTCAAAGCTGTTGTTCCTTGCGATGGAGAATATTGGTGAAACCCTAATTGCCTTGGGTTGGTGGACTTTGATCTTTGTGGTGATGGCTTCTTCTTCTTCTTCTTGATCTTCTTGAGGACTCTTCTTTAATTGCCTCTTCTTCTTATTGGTGGTGATGAGGTTGTCGTTGTTGCTTCTCTTCTTTGGGCCTCTCAGTCCTTTGTTGGGGTTGTCATTGCTGTCGGTGGTTACTCTCTTGCTGAGGTGGGAGTTCCAATAGTTCTTGATTTCATTGTCAGTTCGGCCCGGCAGTCGGCCCGCAATCAGCGACCACCGGTTTCCAAGGAGGGCATGGAGCCTCATGATGAGGTCTTCCTCATCCGGAGTGATGTTCCCTCGCTTTATGTCTGGCCTTAGATAGTTCATCCACCTTAGCCTGCAGCTTTTCCCACATCTCAGCAACCCTTCATGCATTGCCCAAGAAAATAAAGAAAAAGGGTCAGTTTCTCTCGAGTTCTGTTAAAGAACCATCCATCATTGATCCTCAGAAAGTACAGAGAGAAACAATACAGGGAAAAGGTCCAATTAAAGCGACCCTATAAGGAAGTTGGGCTGGAAAATCAACGCTATGAAGTGGCTCTAGAAAGTTCACATTTGCTCTAACTTTGATCAAGACGACATCAAAAAAGTTCCAACCAAACAGAACAAAGAAAACCCTCATGGTATATGATCTGGAGGAATCAGTAACCCTAGCCAATTCAGCTTTCTCTCATCTTCCGTTACAAAAATCTCATACTGGAAAGTCTCTTAAGAGACGCTACTTTTGAGTTCATGGTACTGGCCTCCCAATGGTTACAGTTGAACTGGAAAATTAAAGTGTACCTGCTTTTTTAGGCAAGGATCGCCAATGACCTTCGCCATGCGTTTCAATGTACTTAACAAGCATCGTGTCTTCTTTGTTCGTCCACGGCCCCCTACGTAAACCCACTTTAGAACAACATGGTGCTCTTCCCATGCTCTTCGCTTCTCTCTCTCTCTCTCTCTCTCTCTCTCTCTCTCTCTCTCTCTCTCTCTCTCTGGATCGCTTCCAACAGTGTGTGAGCACGAGGCGAGCTGTGACGCGGTTTGCTCTTATATACCACGAGAACCCTCTGAGCTCTCCAGGCATTAATGATTTTCCACTAGCAAACAAGTCGCCAATTGTTAAATGACTATCACCACATGCTCAATGCCTCCGCCTTATCGCTTTCCGCTAGACAGTGTAAATCTGGAGATGCCGATGATGCAGCAGCACTTCCAGCTCCTACGAACCGCGCGGTCAAACCAAATGTTACTCACACAAGGGTGAAAAATATAAGACTTTCATTTGCGAGAAATGGACTATGCTTAATTATTATTCTATGGACCACCCAATTTATTGGGTTTTGGAAGAAGGTGCTTGGGTTTGAAGTTACAAGCAAGTGACCCCCCCCCCCCACTTGAGTTTATGTGATCGCAAGTGCACGATTAAAATAATGCTGAATTGATTAGCATGGAGTGTTGTCCATGCAATGAACAATTTTTTAAGTAGGTTCGAGCTTGCTTCTGATATTCAGCGAACTCTTAAATTATTATATGAGAGGAAAGGTACGGTTTTCAAGGGTTCATTCACCGATCGAGAGAGTTTTTTATTCCTCGAGGATTTCGAAGATTGAAGGAGAGTGGTTGACATGACATCATTCACTGCCTGCAGATTAAAGAAAAAAGCTTCGTCTTTCGTGATATTTGCAAATCTTCCCGCAAAGGAAAATTTGACTTTTCCGCCTTTTCCCCCATGATCTTGGACAATGATGTGATGGGGTGGCCTTCGAAAAATTGCATTATTGGCGGGTCCAAAATTTACCTGTTTCTTAGGGTGGGAGAAATTCATGGAATCTTCCGGTCAATGATCTCGATACGAGACAGCAAAGGATGGGCAAATGAAGCAGGAGCCCCAATCCCACGTGCCCATTTGGAAAATGATGGACGAAGAATCGGTCGTCTCGAGAAAAATTGCAATGTCCCACGAGATCGTGTGAATCGAAGGACGCGAAAAAAAGGGATTTTCGGAAAAAGTAATACGGCAAGAAAGGATTGAAACAGAGGGCAAGACTTGGGACCCGTGCAAGTGAAATGGACGAAAGGTCCAAACTGAAAACTCGAGCTAAAAGGTGTAATGAGGTCGCATGCACGAAAAAAAGACTCTGTAAATCGAAACATCGAAAAAGAAAGGAAAGGAATCCTTATTAACTGCTAACAGAAAATTGTACTTCGAGCAGATGAACGAGTGAGTAGTACGTTAGGGTAAAAATCACTGAAGATGTCGGCCCGGTTGATGGCAAGAATCGTGTGGATGTGTGGGGGAAATGGAAACGACAGTGGCGAGGAAGGGTGGGCGTGAAATCGCCGAAGGAAGAAGATAGCCTCGAGCTCAACTACCCCTCCTCCCCTTCTTTACTTCACCTTCTTCACCTGCCCTTCTCTTCTCCCAATGCAGGCATCCATCGCTCACCGAGATGGAGTTGGTGGCCAATTATTGAGCGATGGAGATGCATATTATAATCGAAGGCACGGCCTAATCGACCCCCCGTGTGGCGTCATTCCGTGTAACTTTCATTAGATACGAAATCCCCCGTTGAGTCTGCAACCCACGACTTGCAGATACAGCACGAGGTGGGGAAGGTGGTGGTCGTCCGACCTGGGTTCCCCACGCACGGGGGATGTGTCGAGGGACCGAAGGTGTTGCTCTTTGTTTCTATTCAAGATCGAGTCCAACGTGCGACAATTGGGGTTTGCGTGATTCGCGCTAGCTGATGCTGTATGCTGTATGCTGTATGCTGTATAGTATTAACAGCATATGGAGAGAAAGATGTACTTTGAAGTTTGTAGCTAAACAAATACGTAGACTTACGTATGGAAAATTTTCTTAGCTCGAAGTTTGGAATCCCCACATGCCAATTAGCTAGTTTAGTCCTATAATATATCTAGTTTACAGTCTAATTTTCGACACGGAGAAAAGACAATCGATGATAACGCGAGCACAGCATGTTTGATAGTCCTCGTTTGACGCAGCGTTCAACGAGTAATTCAAGCAAAATCTTGCTTAGGGAGAGAAATCCCGAAATTCAATATTGATGATAATGTTCTGTTTTTCAAAAAGAACCATAAAACAAGCGTATATATCCCTAAACCAAACCCTACTAGGACTATAAAGCATAAAATATCAAAATTACAAAACTAACCTTAAAATTAAAATCCATAAAAAATATTAAAATAATAGAAAAACCCATTTAAACGATCCCGAATCGTTAAAATCCATCGTTAGTCATGGCCAAAGGCGATGAGTTGTGTTCAGACCGCCGTTTCGCTTAAAACGACCGAATTTGAGCCCGATCCGATGTCGTCAACTGGTCCACCGGTTCTAGTCGCATCACCGTTTCGCCTTCCGTTTGGACTTCTGCCTGTCCAACCGGTCAAAAAGCGCACCACTAATAGATTCTGCATCATCGTTTCCGTTCGTGCCGAATCAGGACACGAGTTAAAGTCAATTGCTTCGCCGAAATTGGTAGGATTGAGGAGGAAATATCAGTGACTCGATTTGTCATTTGCCCTTGATCTTTTCGGGGAGACTTGGCGGGACACTCGTGGAACAAAGGCATGGCAAAGCTAGGAAGTCAAATTTGTCTCCTCAATTATTCTCCCTTTGATTTCGCAAGTGAAGGGACAATCTCCCAATTAAGCATGAGCCCTTTTTGGTAGATACATTTTGCTTTTTAGCAGAAGATACAAAGAAAGAAATTGAGTGGTTCTAGAATTCACATGGGATAGCGAATTCTACTTTTAACAACATAAATTATGGAACCTCGATTCCTGCAAAAATAAGACAATGGATAGAGACCGTCCAATTCCATCAACGTTGGTTATATCTGCCTGAATACTAGGAGTGAACAACGGTGCGGATTTAAGCCGAGAAACGAATCGAACCGGTTTTGCTAGGCCTGTTCCGAGCCCGTTCACGAGGGATCTAGTTTGTTTCCCGGTTCTCCGGTAAAACAACCACCAATGAGTCTTTAACGATTTTTGCAAAAACAAAAAAACGACTTCAAGTATTTCAACCTAAGCAGGCCACTATGGTGTCCTTATTGAGAACTCTTCCTATCTGCTCCACATTTCCACGACTTCCTTCACTCACTCGATCTTTGCAACTCCTAGAGCGATCGATCGTATGTTCCGTAACAACCATCTCTTCATTAACCACACTAATTTAATTCCAAAACCCGTTCCTACCGTTAATTCAATCAGATCGGGGTACCGTTTCCTTACTCCGATCGGAGTAGTCCTCATTGCATCTCAGGTGGAAGTCAAGAACCCCGAACCTCAGCTCGAATTCGGACGAGGCAAAGGTCCACATCGATATCAAAACCCTAACTAAACTTTGACTTTCGATACCACTGCTATGCTCCTCTAAGCTCATTTCAATACGTACATGTTGCCTCAAAATCTGCCGGGTGTCGTTGATTTTTCACCACCAAACGTAACGTACCAAATCTTCTCCAACCTGTACAGTATCCCCACGCGCGACGGTTCGACTGATCCACGGCGTTGGGATTTGCCAGTGCAAAATTTAATGGGGGTGGTGATGCCATACTGACAGTCATTACACCACCATCCCTCAAAGTGGTACAAAAACAATTCGAGGCTGGATCTCGTGCCCATTATTCAATAGCGATCTTGGAGACATGATTGCCATTCACCACGAACGAGAAAAGCCCCCTATAATCAAATCAGTAAATCAAGATTAAGTGGTCGTGACAGAGTGATTATGTTTTGACCCTAATTATATTAGGTGCTGCGGTGTTGAATTTGCATGTGATTATCCCTGTTGCTGGAGAGATTGGCGTTGGCCAATGAGAGGTGCGTGGTGGATTTCTCTCTTTGTTTTTTGTTAACCATTCGAGGCGATCCAGATTCCCATGAGCATTCAATGCTTCCAAGTGATGTGTTTGAAAGATGTAGCAGCATTTATGTAATTGCACGATCGTGAGCTGTCTGCATGAAGAAATGGTCGAAGGCTATCCACGTTTTTTTTTCTTGTTCTTTGTTTAGTGTTAGTTGCAATTCCGTCAATAAGAGGGAGCGGCAGTTGCAAATTGTCTGAGGTTGTAAATTGCACAATCCACCCCCCCCCCCCCCCCTCCTTTTAATGTTGGTAATCGCGTACTTTTTCGAAATTTGATTGACATCTCTAGCGTCCCTGTCAAAATAGGGAAAGTTTGCTATGTCCGTGAAACCGTCTTTCTCGTATTTTGCAAAGCCGGCGCATTGAAAATGACAACATCTCTTTAATAGATGTGGTCAATAAATATCTTGAAACATTCTTTAACAAGATTCACAAACTCAAAGAAAGTCGGCATGTAATGACTGCCTCTCGTCATTTGCTTACTTGATCCTCCACTTGCTGGTCGAGAAAAGGGTAGGTACGTATCCTGGTCCTTGGTGGGATAATCGAATGATTAGAATCCTCCTTAATTTAGAATAATCGCATTCTCGAAAAGGCTGATAGAGACCGTTGCACCAACCTCTTTTAGGTCGAGACCCCAGTCGTGCTTCTAGTTTACGTTCGCATCATCCAGATAGTGAAGATGTTGGAAGCAAAGTAGGAGTTTTGACCTTGTCCCCATCCGGGTGAAAACTCCTTCGCTACTGGTCGACCCTTAATTTCGGGGGGGAATGATGACCTCCGCCCTCTCTATGTTCTTAGCCAAGCCTAAACTGCAATCAAAGGTAGCTTCAATAGTTCACTAAAAGCTTTTGCTTTGGAGGCAACAAAGGTCTTCTCATATTTAGGCTTTTTATGTACTAATCCTTATAGGTGGAGTCTATTTGAGAGAGATCACATATATAAAGAGCATATAAGCCACGTATTGTCAAGTGACGTGAGAAATTTCAACACCTCCTCTTACGTTTAAGCTGTGACATTTAAAGTTTATAGGTGGACAAAGACTGAACATTGAGCATATAAATCCGGTGTGAAGCTCCCTTGAATTTTTCAATAGGTCGCATTCCCACAATGCTGTAATATCGGCTTTCTGCCAAGCTGCTTTCGGAATGCATTACTAGTAATTAGCATCAGTTTGGTTACCATGGAAAAGCTCAAGTACTAGACATCGAGGGATGATCACGAGAATCAGCAAAGTAGAACAAAAAGCAAAACCCCAAAAGAAATCTAATCGGCGAAATTGGAAGATACCCTCTTCTTTATTTTCTCCATCACGTGACAGGGTTTCAATCCTAGAAGTCAGGGTGGAGCTGTGGAGACGAGGAGTACGTGTTAGGTTTGAACACCCTTATGAACAGAACAAGTTTTGTCTTCTACCAAGTTGGATAGATTCCCTAATACGTTGACAGTCGATTACGCGAGGACCAACGAGGGGTTTGGATCCCCCCCCGGGCTAGACAAAGGGACGCTCGATTACAAATTTGATTTCGATTTCCCATGTTTTTGTCTAACCTTCAACGCGAGATATAATAAAGGAGCCTTTTGGAGGAGAGAGAGGTCCTGTTCTGTGTCTGTAACGAAGGGATAATGACAAAAATAGTCCCTGAACTTCGGTTGAATATGTAATTTGATCTTTGAACTTTTAATTTGTTCAATGTAATCCTTGAACTTTAACCCAATGTTCAATGTGGTCCCTGAACTTTTGATACATGTTCAATTTAGTCCCTGAACTAGATGAAAATGTACAATATAGTCTCTGAACTTGAATTAATGGAAGGACTACATTGAATAGTTTTATAAAGTTCAGGGACTATATTGAATATGTACCAAAAGTTCAAGGACCATATTGAACAAATTAAAATTTCAGGGATCATATTGAATATTAGGTTAAAGTTCATGGATTATATTGAATAAATTAAAAATTAAGGGATCAAATTACAAAAATTCATGGACTGTTTACGTCATTTTCCTTTTAACGAACGGTAAAGCGTCGTGTGTACTAACGCAGAAGGGAGCCTGCGCTGCGGAAGGACTAATGTACGTCCGTGAGTCGTCTTATGTAATTCACGATGATGCATGTGTCGGTTGACTTTTCTGCCAAAAATGAGAAATGCTCAACATGGGCTTTCGTTACACGGTGCCTAATGATGTTGTTTGTTGCCTTTTGTTGCTTCTGGGTCAGTGATCTATTGACCGACGGAAAGAGGATGTTTTCCTCGTGTCGTCTCGCTTAGGAAAATTAATCTGGCCTTTTTCGATTTCAAATCTGTCACCGCGACGGAAGAACTAAGGTTGATTCCGCGGTCTAGATTCTTGGTCTTCCGGCGATTAGAGAAGTACCCAAATCGTTTAGCTTAACTGTGATGATTCGAAATGTAAACAATCCTTGCACGAAGCAGGAAATTGATTCGATAACCCGAAGATTCTCCCTCTCTCCCTCTCTCTCTTTAAGTGTGGATGTGACGCATGATCAAATTGTTCGAACGGTACGAGATATCCTAGAAACAAGAGTTTGACATCCTAATTCGATGTTGTTATTTGATTGCGTTAGATATATGAACACGTTCGTCGTCTTCTATTCCGAACACACTTCTCTAAACACTCATGAGATCACGCCGCATCATTTAGTCCTCGGCATTTTCAGTGTAGATAGCGTTGGTCGTGTACAATCCGCTACTAGACCTCTTTTCTTCTCTGTGGAAACAGAAACGTGAGAATATACCAGTGAAACCATTTTGTCCAGTGCAAGTCTCAGAAGAGTAGAGTACCCTAAATCCTTGTGAAAGGAGGTTGTACGTTACAACTTTAGGAGGGAGCTTACTGAATTGGACAAAATCACCCAACGCACCTAATTGCAGCCCAGTTGTTGACTCCACATGCAAGTAAGGCATCGTCTTACTTCGAACTCGAGGTCGACCACTTACGGCGAATCGCACATGAAAACCAAACCCCAGCCAGGTTACGTAGGCTATAACGAGGCATCATCGAAAAGGATGTAGCAACTTTACGAGGTATCAACTCAGAATATGATTGTCGCGACTCCATCAAAATTGGATGAGAGGGCAAGAGCCTGTGATTTGTGACCAGAGTTCTAGGTTGTTCATGTACCCCTAATCAGTTTCATCAAAGAAAATTTGCACTGGGAGTGAGTGAAAAATCGAATCCGGTTCCTCTCCTTTCTTTTGTTGCCAATCTCGCATTCAGAGCAAGGAACGCAGACACGCTCGGCGAGCCCATCATTGCGATGGCAAGTAAGAAGGGCAGAAGAGAGGGACATCCTACGGACAACCCCATATAAAGATGGGACAGAGTTGGCTTCAGAGCTGGTCACTATGCCTGGTAGCAGCCCAAAGTGTCTACTAACCTACATCCGTGTTCTTCTCTAAATCTATACTTCAGTATAGGCAACTCACCTGTACCAACAGTGTCAGTATCAAGCAAAGTCCAAATCGACGATGCCCGTTGCACGGGCTTCAAGTTACGGTATCGGCAGGTAGACACTCCATAACTTTGAGGGGGATACACTGCAGTTAATTACAAGAAAATCACCCCATATAAATGAACCGTGCAAAAGCTAGATGACTTGCACCATTATGGGATGCAAAGGATGCAAATACCAGCTCATGGGCATGAGCCAATGGATTGGGCAGACCATTCATCGACCTAATGTGATCCAATGGTATAGACGTTCGATCAGTGCAATTAGAAAATTTTCTTCATATTCCCTTATTGGAACTGGGGATAGATCTATTTGTCCACCGTTTAACAGCAAATACATCATCACCTTCCTCGCCTCCGAATAAGAGTAGCACACAGCATTGACAAATAATTATAGAACAAAAATCATCATTAAGCTATATGAAGACAAAAAGGATCCCCATGGTAGGGGAGCAAAATAGCAAAGCAACAAGCTTCACCTAATCTGTCTTTAACTGAAAGAAGACATTCATCCTAGGGATCCGGGCTAATAAGAATATACTTTTTCTGTTTGATGTGTAACTAGAAGCATCATACATAAAATCCTTAAAAGCAAAGGGGGAAAAGATACATCTTCCGGTTCTCAGCTCTGGCACGGCACAGCAACGTCACCATTGGCTCATACATCCCAAAATAATCCACCCAGGAAGCCTCCAGTTAGTGATCAGCATTTATTCCGAATATGCGTACCTTGTGCATATTGGGAAACTTTGCCACCACCAATACAAATACCGCCAAAGTGTTAAGGAAGAGCATCGGGTTCTTATAGTCTGTTGTGTGTGAGGCTATGAGATACCTGCCAGATGAAACAAGGCTATGAAGGAGGTCCTTCTTGCGACTAAAAACAGCAAAAGTAACTCTAAATCGTGAGGCTAATTGTATCTAAGATTGCAGATTTTATAGAAGACCTTATGTGCAACAATGGATAATTTACCCGATTTAAGATGCTTTTATGCCCCCCAGGCTCCTAGCTTAGTGTGGAACAATCTATATCCCCTAAACATGATGCAGTCAACGATATACCATAGCGTGCAGAGCAGACAGAAATATGAGAGTGATCGACCATATCCAAATTGGATCTCAGATCTGGGATTTATGGGCATTGGATGTCTAAAGGTACGAAAACGACAAAACTAATTGTAAGGACAACATTATAGGGGTTAAAAACTTCCACCACAGCACCAAAGGGGTTATTAGGATGAACTCCACAAAGAACTACATAAAAGAGTCCTTGATCTAGGCTATAAACAAAACTCCACTTTATGCCTTTTTCGGTTGGGGTGGGGTGGGGAAATCAGTCCTTCTTTGTTTCCTTGAGCATAATATAGGAAAAGAATAGTCCCATAGTACACGCAAATCAACAGAGGCTGGTTTCACCATTTTTTTTTTAATGATTTGCAAATTTTGTGACAAAATGACAGGAACCATAAGAGCAGCACAGGCGAGGGTAGACAGGGTATAAAGAGAAAACTGAAGGTCAGAGGTCTAAATACCCAGAGAAGCTGATTCAGATGCATCAATTCAACACATCCTTGGACCTATTTTCTCTTGAACCATCAATCCAGACACAACAACTAATATAATGTATAACCTATGTATTGTCTGTTAAATATGATCTTCACAACAATCAGTTGACAGAGAGAAAACCAATATTTGTTTTTTTTTTAACACCCCGTTTCTGAACAAGGGAAAATGCCACTTCCTCTACACATTTATGTACAACCTAGTATAGGAAATAGCTAATAGTTAGGACTCGTTTAAAAAATTGATAATCATTCACTCGTGAAAAAGACCTTCCCATACCAGGTACTATTATCTTTTTAACGTGCAATTAGATTGGATAATCAGTCAAATTAAGAAATACGAACAGTCATAAATTGAAAGCCAATCACTGCAACAGAACACCTTGTCAAGCCTAGAAGAGGAAGTCCACACCTAAGAATCTGGTAATGCTGTATGTAGGGCACAAAGTGCATGAGTTCAGTACCAGAAGCTTAATAATTTTGTACTAATAGTACATCCATGAGACCACCTCAACCCGACCCAACCACAACCCAATATAACAATGACATAGCTATTTAAGAAACTGGAATGAAATTAGCTCGATTAAGAATGAACCTTATCAAAGGTAAAAACCCGGTCGATAAACAACAAACAGTGCATGACATGGCCCCATGGGTGCAATAGACGTAACTATGTCACAAAAGTAGCCTAATAATCAGGTGAAAAGGCTTAAAATGACATGCAAATCACTTACAGCACCACAGGAACGACAGTCAAAAACTTCCTATTCCGAGTGAGTTGCTTGCCATTGTCTATCTGTTCCCACCAAGTCAAAGCATTGTAGATTCCCTGGTCATCAGAAAATGGCGTGCCCTTCTTCCAATGAAAGAAATGATAAGTTACCTGAAGGAAGATGTAATAATCACCACAGAGTCAGTAACTCGAATGGCAAGACGGAGTTTATATATTGGCAGAAGAAAGATAATTAACCACAGCGGATGAAGAAACTTTCATAGACCTCTATCCAAAATGAAAGATATAAAAAAGAAACTTGTGCAATACAGGAACTCCCTCTGAATAAGAATTACTTGAGAAGACATTGAATGAAACAAAGAAATTTCTAAATTATTGATCCCATCAAACCAATCAATAAATTTACTCGTTTCTCAAAAATAACTTCCCATGTCTAGAAGCCACAGTAACAAGACCAATGTAGACAAATATCTTCGAGAACAAGTATGTCTCCCTCTGGACAATACGGCTCGTTGCCTTTGTGGCTTAATGTAACGTTACCTGAAGTAAGGCTAAAGAAGAAAACAGAGAATACACAAAGATGCCAAAAGTGACTCCTGGACTTATCACAGGCACTCCCTGACCAAAAATTCAAGATGGATCATGACTTTCAAGATCATGAATCTAATTGCCAACATATAGAGGCACGACATTTTGCAACATATCTAACATTTGCACACATAACCATAGCCGCAACAAACTGGAGTAATCAGCGATACTTGGACTAAAATGATGAAGTTCAAGACTGAGAAACTTCAGCAGAAATGGTACTCATGCACGTAGTACAACCTACTAACTATACAAAAGTCCCTTCAAATTATACGAGTGAAACGTTTCGACACTGATAGTTCGAGGACATTATGGCGTATAATCAGCAGATTGCTGGAGAAATAGAAGTCATCCATATATTCATGGCACTATTCACCACACGCTCATGCTGAAATTTCTGCTTGACAGAATAGAAAGGTACAATCTCTTTCCTACTCGACACAAAAGATATCAATTACGTACCAGCTCTTCTACACCACTCGAAGGTTGGTTAATCACAATTCTCAATGAAATGATAACCAACAGCCTAGACACACAAATGCTAGCCAATGCTCCCAACATCCAATAGGACACTCCAGATTCCTGAATGTGATGATCTACATACTTACAAGGAAACACCAGAAACATGGAAAATCCCAACAACACCAACATAAAAATGAGATCACCCCCACCCTAAAGCCCACCACACCACTCTCTTTTTCTCGCTTGTAAGAGCGGAACTATCCCGAAAAAAGACGCAAACGGGTGAATTCCCAATCGACCCACTTTTTCTTCAACTCATAACGCCAACAACCGAGGAGCCTAGGGACGCCCAAGCTAATCCACTCCAAAATCCATTCGCGACCGATTCCTTCGACCACTCAGGCACAACCTAATCCGCCGAGCAGTGACCCAACACACAAGAAAACGCGAAAAGCCTCAACGCCCCAGGCCGCCCCCACACGACAACAGCAACAAGGGCAGACGATCGACCCTCAACCTCGACCGATCGACACAAAACCGAAACTTGCCGCAGACCCAGAACCGGAAACAACCTAAAGGGAAAAAGAGAAGAAAAAAAAACAAAAGAGAGACGTACGAGGAAGTGGGAGAGGTTGACGATGGTCCAGGCCATCCCGGGGGAGCAGCTGAAGAGGGAGAGGACGATGAGCCAGGAGATGAACACGATGAGGATGTACGTCGTCCACACCCCGGGGTACGTGAACCACTCCGTGTTCCGGTTCAGATCCGTCGGCGGCACAGCCTTCACGTACATTCTCCCGAAATCCGATCCGATTCCCCCACACCCCCCCACGGAAATCAATCCAAGTATCGAAATCAGAAACTCCGACGACGACGACGACGACAACGACGGGATTGCGATTGCGATCGGCGAATTGATGAAGATCGATGGGGGAAGAGCAGGGTCGAATCGAAAGTTTTGGAAAGGTTCGTGGAGATTTGGCGAGATGGGGGGCGATGGTCAGCGTGGGAGACCGGCGAGGGATTGAGAGATAGAGACGAATGAAACCCGGGGGGGAATAGTATCTTCGTGTGGCTAAATAAAGAGAGAATTTTATTTTTTTTTCAGTAGGTTAATTAAATTAGATTTATTTAGTTTCGATTAGTTTTAAGTTTTAAATTTGCAAAACCAACAATTCCTTTAATGGTTTTTTTTTTCCTTAATCAAATTGGCTTTGATTGCAACAAGGGGCAATCATTCGATGTAAAGATGGGCGGCCTAATTCCGCTTAGAAAGCACCCGCTTCCGATCGGGTCTCGATTCTAGCCTTAACCTTTTTTTTTTTTCTTCTCGATGAAAAAAAGCGCAAATTACAGATCGTGTCTCGATTTTGACCCAAATTCTCTTTTGTCTCTTAAAAAGGTACTAACTTTGAGTTGGTGACCGATTCTAGTTCAAACATTTTTTTTTTGTCTCATAAAAGAGCACTAATTTTTTGTAGCTACCTGAATTTGGCCCCCGTCAAGTTTTCGTACAATGATGTCGTTAAATATCCGACATGTCATTCCATGTGTACTCAACAGAAACTTGACAGTGACTAAATTTGGGTACTGACTCAAAGTTTGTGCATTTTCATGAGACAAAAAAAAAAGTTCAAGCTAGAATTGGGGCAAGAATTAAAGTTTGTGTTTTTCTGTGAGACAAGAAAAAATTTAGGCCAGAATTGGGACCTAAAATAAAGCTGATACTTTTTTTAACGAGACAAATAAAGTTTGGATTAGGATTGAAACTTGAATTAAAGTCGATGCCTTTTAAAGGAATTTGGCCGCCATCTTTATAAGGCATGGCTTACCAGACAAAGGTGAGTATCCATTGAAATTCAAAATCAATGAAATTTGATGCTGCTTAAAATCAACCTGTTGTAGGGTTTGACCAAAAAACAAAATCTGTAGTAGGGGGGACTAAACAAGAAATGGAATATATCTTGAAAGGGGATTATTTAACTCGACTTGCTCTTATGATATTGGTGATCGGGATGCGTCTTGTAGGCGAGTTTTCGTAATGTCAAGACTGTAAATTGAATTTCATAATCGAGCGAAACTTCATTTTTTTTGTGTAAATTATGATAGATTCGATATATTAATATGAGAAATTTTAGGATATCGCTTTGTAAATTGTGATAGATTCTATGCTGTTGCTAGACAACCAAATAATAGGTCCAACAAAAACTGATTGCTTCCACAATCATAGAAAACTGCTAAGGCCCGTTTGATAACGTGCCAAACAGCGAAAATTTCTGTTTTTTTGTTCCCAGAAATAGTTTGGGAACAGAAATGCGTTTGGTAAACTTTTTGTTCCCGGGCACATTTTTGCAAAAATTTGTGCCCAGAAACAGTTTTGGAATATAAACAAGAAGTAAAAAAAAGTTGCTTCTTGTTTCTCGGCACAATTTTGAGAATGAGTTCTTTTTCTTCTTTTTCTTTTTTTTCTTTCCTTTTTTGTGTTGCTCTTCCCTGGGCTGTGGCCGGTCGCCGGCAAACCGGTCATAGCCCAGGGCCGACGAGGGCATCACGGCCCTTGTCGGCGAGGGTGAGGGCTGGACCCTCGCCCAGATCGGGCGAGGCCGAGCCTCGCCGTCGCGACCCACGGCGAAGCCGACCTCGCCGTCGCGACCGACGGCGAGGCCGGCGGTGAGGTAGGCGGCCAGGGCCGCGACGCCCTGGCCTGTGGCCGGTCGCCGGCGCCAGCGACCGGCCCTGGCCAAAGAAGGGAAGGGTAGAAAGAAAAAAAAAATTAAACAATTTAAAATATTATTTAAATATTATTAATAAAAAGAAATTTTGTGTAGTTACCAAACGTATTTCTGTTCTTTTCTATCCCAGGAATAGAAATTTTGGACAGTTACCAAACGCCTTCAAATGCTCAGAAATTATTTCGGGGCACAGAATCAAAAAGAATCATTTCTGAATAGAAATAGTTCCCGGACACAGAATGATTGTCATGCACACCCTAAGGCATCAACCTCCACCTAAATCGTGGATAATTATAAGAGTAATCAAAATTTTAAAAAGCAAATATAAAACAAAAAAATCACCATCAGCCATCTGATATTCCGATTGGCACCGAGCCCCACCAACACAATATCCACCGCCAACTCCGACAGCGCCCCCCTTAACGCCACCCACCAACCACCACCGACCACCGTCCTTTTATTGCGCTCATAGACTAGGATATGTTCATACCACCTTCGGCAGTCTTGGTCTCTTTTGTTTCCTTCACAGGATTCTCAATGCACCATTTGAATATGGAGACGGTAGCAATCATCATTCAGATGAAGGGAAACGTTTCCGAGCACGAGGGACTCGCTCTTCACACAGGTTTCTCGAGCATACGAGAGGGTACATTGAACTTACAGCTTTCTCCAAAACAATAGAATACTAGCCACCCTAATTTCTCCTGTTACTCGGGATGCCACGTCACGGTCGGACGAGACCAGATGCGAAACTCGAAACTAGAGGGGCAAGCACAGAACAGAGCACCCGAGTCCAATCTCGTGAATCGGGAAAAAGAGGACGGAGTGAACTGCTGAGAAGATGGCAATTATGCGTGAATCGGCGGAAGAACCGGCTGTGAGAAGCCCATTGATCACGTCCATCTGCTACTGGTTTTGTAATCAAGGCATTTTGACAAGCTCCTTTAGAATGTGTGCTTCGTCAACCCCTCGCTTGACTTTCGTTCGCTTGTATCATGCAGCACAACCGCACATACAAAGAAGTAGCTCAATCCACCTCGCATTTCACCCGGTGCAACCGGCATAAATAACAATGTCAAACATCTTCGGCACTTCTTTTATCATTCAGACAACAAAATGACCCGCGACCGAATTGGGAATCCTCGCAAGAATGAACAATCGTTGAGAATCTGTTTTAAATCCCAAACATTTAATTGGTCATCACGAAAAAGATTCACAAAGTTAAACTTCTGCTGTCATTAGGAACAGACTGCAAAGTCAGGAAACACCAAACGCAGGCATAGAGGCCATTTTAAGCCTCTTTCTGCATTCATCAAGGAGTTCCATCTGTACATACCAACCAACACATTGAAATGCACATGGACAATCCGTCACGAAATAGACAATCTTGTTCAACAGATACAAAGCACAAGAATGACCGGCGAATCTGTACACGAGATTTATTAACACGATTGAATCATCAGAGGCACAACCACTATGCAAAAACACAAAAATATTTCAAAGAGGAGAAATGGCAGACTATTTCCAGTTGCGAACTTCTGCCTCACCTGAGCAACTGAAGTGTCCAGAGACCAACCAAATCCATGACCATGAACACAAGTTGGACTACCAGTTCTCCTTTACTATTTTTGATTTCTCGAGAATGAACTTCCCTTCCTTGTACTTTTGAGTTTCTACATATGCCCTTTCATACTTCCACCCGAGAAGGTCGTGGCAATCCGAGCAGTATACATCAGCCACCGTGTGAAGGCCGGTCATGAGCTGCCTGTCCTCTTTCGGTCCGACCATAACATTCATTGCGTGGGAGAACAAAAAAGCTCGACCGTTTCTTCCCTGACACCAACATAGTAACAAATATATTGAATTCTATCCCCTAGTTCATCACACTCCTGGTTGCAGCATGGTGACAACACTCACCAAAGCTTCAGTTTCCTTCGTGTGAATTCTACTTTCTACACTCTGTTCTAGCCAACATCATCAAGCTTATTTCATTCCCTCTTATAAACAATTAAGTCAAACGGGTTTTCGGCTTCGAAATTCATCGCTTTTGTCTGAATTTTCTCGATACATTTCCTACCCTTCTAACAGGTAGTTTGACACCACCCCACCAGCATCTCTAGTACTTAAAATTTCACAGTAACTTAAAACATCTAATACCTATCTCAAATCCTCCTTAGGAAAGACGAGCCTATGCGGGGCTCGAGGGGCTCACCGCCACTCAGCCTCTAGGTGTGGCGTAATCTCTTTCGAAATTTTTACCTTTGTTTCACCCACTTGAACTGAGACTCCACACAATCTTTCGCTCGCTCGGCACGCACACCCCCCCCCCCCCCCCCCTCGATCTAAATTTATGCACCGGCCACTCCTCGACTCTCACATTGTGAAGTTAATTTAGTTCATCAAATTTCCATCCAAGGCCCCCGTATCCCAGACCAACGCACAACCAGAGCAACGCAATGTAGAGAGCAACCGATCAAATCTAAAGAGGGGAAACCAGCACTACCTGAAAGCTTTTGGAAATGACATCGTCGTGGAGCGCCACATGGTTTCGGCAATGGCAGCAACTGTACAGACTCGGACCGATCACCTCCGCCATTGCCCTGCTACGCCCAAACCGCTAGCAACCAAATCCACCTCGCACCCACCTCCCTAAAGATCAAGCTCATCAAAAGAGAGGAGAAAAACAAAAGGGGGCCACAAGAAAATTCTGAGCGCAGCTCTCTCTCCATCCCCGTTCTCTGCTCAGAGAGACCCAGAGCAAATCAATCAATCACAAACTCAACCAGCATCAAGGAAACCCTACCTTCCCTCCGACGGAGGCGGCGACGGCGCTCGGGTTCCCGGGTCGGCTCGGTGAGCGGCGCCGACGAGAATCCGATCGAGGCCACGGACGCACGCAAGCGATCGAAGGAACTGCTGAGGAGCGGCGATCGAAGAAGAGGCTCGGGAAAAACGAAGGTACCGGAACCCGATACGACGCTAGATTGAAGCGGCGAAGGATCGGAGCTCTTCGGATTCGCGCTTCTCGCCGCGAGGATCGACGGAGCGGCGAGCGGAGCTCGCGACTCGATCCGATCGATCGTGCGTCGATTTCCGGCGAATGAACACGTGGATCGCAGGGAGAGAGGGAGAGGGAGAGTGCAGGGGTTCCGGAAGAGGAAGAGCGGGGGGGCGCGCGGCGGAGCTCGGCGAACTCCGCTGATTCCGCTGATTAGAAGGCGGCGAGTTTCTTCTGGGGCCGATGGACGATTTGGGACCCGCAGTTTCGGCGGAATTACGGAAATGACCCGATGCCCTCGACTCACGTTACTAATAAGTCCGCCTAACATGGGACCAGTTGGGTTTGGATCGGGATCGGGTCCAAATTGGTCTGGCCCAGGTTGATTCATTTTCATGTAATGCGAATCTAGCGACCTATTGATCCGATTCATATTGTTAAAACCCTTCTATATTTAATCTCAAATCTAGGAAAATTCACACCCGGACCAAGGTGAGAACGCGGAAGGAGCGAGCGCAAGATTGAGTGAGGACGAGAGTAAGTGAAGAAAGAGTCATAAAAAGAATTGGGTCTAAGTAAATTGTGGACCCATCTAATACCCATATTATTTTGGACTTTATCATTATAAACCAATTTATTGAATATATCTAACACAGCCCATCAAATATGGGTTAAGAAATGAGTTTGTAACCCATTTTGACGGGTCTAATTACCAATTCATCGTTGACCCGAATTCGGAGTAATCCAACATCATAAGTTAGATAATGTCGGGTTAAAACAAAGTCTTTCTCAATTCTCGATGTCTGATCAGATAAAAGCTTCCGAATAAAACCCATTTATTAGCTTGGCCTCTTGAACGACCTTATGCAAATCTATTATTAACTTTACTTCCCTGCTATTTACGTTACCGGCAACTATTATTCTCGGCGTTCGTATTGTTAAAATCGCTGTCGTTTGATGTCCAAAATTTTACAGAAAACCGTTTCTTCATAATCTTTATCGATTCACATCGGTCCGTTCACATCGCAAAAGGTACTTCATCGTCCCTTTTTTGGTGAAAACAATCGGGCAAGCTAAATGCTTCGTATTTGACAAAACGCCGTCCGGATCTTGGCATATGATTTTTGGGTTTGGATCTTAGCGATCAAAAAACTCTTGGTAGATCTTGGCACGCAAAGAGGAACGCGGAGGCGCGGTGCTGTCGCCACCGACGCGCAATTCTAGCTGTCCAAAAAAATAATAACAATTAATTTAATTATTTTTATTCGGGTCGAAATCAATTTTAATTTTATTGATTAATGCAACTATTGAGCCTCGAAATTGCCGTAAAGCATCTGGCGACATTACGCAGGATTTCTGGGACCACCCATTGGTAATCTAAACCTAAATCTTTGTTCTTCCTTTTTTAGAAATCAGCAAAACGCAGCTGCAAAATAAACTTCTTTTTTTTCCCTTGGATTTCTTAAAAAGAAAGTGAATACAATTAATGGGTCCAGTTTAAAAAAAAATTGAAAATTTTATTCCCTCGAGCTCTGCTCTAAAGAATTACAACGGTTTGAAATAAAATTTTACTATATGCAGAAATTCTTGAATAAGCAAAATGGCCGAAAGTGTAGCGAGATTGAATAATGCTCAACCATATTGTTCCCCGGAATTTCTGCTCCTCACATGAACCGGCCGCCGCCGCCGCCGCCGCCGGTCGCGGCGTACGCGAGAAGCCCGACGGCCATCGCCGCGAGCGCCGGCGGAACGCCCCGGGAGTGCGCCGAGGACGTCCCCGCCGGGATCGACCCGAACACGGTGGGGTAGGAGGGCGAGATGTCGGGCAGCGCGTTCGGGCCGCCGGACGGGGCGGAGGCGGAGGCGGAGCCGTTCCCGGAGAGGACGGAGATTTGGAGCTTCTGCTCCTTCTCGCAGTGGCCCGGGGTGCCGCTGGTGAAGTAGAACACGCCGGGGGAGGTCACGTTGAAGAGGGAGTTGCCGTTGTTCATGTACAGGATGGGATCCGTGACGTTGCAGGCGTCGTAGGCTTGCTGCGTGACCTGGACCACCGAATCCTGGCTGGGCGGGTACAGGAACACTGCATTTGAGGGATGCAGAGCATGTCAAGGCCATTCCTTTGTTCTCTCCATAAAACAGGGGAATTCAAGCTCTTCGAACCCGGGCGCTACGTTTCGGAAATGCGAATCAAGATTGGATGAGAGGGAGAGAGAGGGGGAGAGACTTACAGAGGGAATCGCCGAGCCTGAGGGAGTGGTACTTGGACCACTGTGCATAGACTTGAGAGTTGGATTCGGTGGGGATTCCCCAGGCGTCCAAGTCGCCCACCTTGTACTGGTAGGACGAGACGTGCACGGAGATCATCAGAAGCTGGAGGAGGGCAGCGCAGAGGAACTGGAATCTTGGGCTTCTGGGAATGGCCATCTTCTCTCTCTCTGCTGAGCTTGTTTAGCTTTTCTTGCTTCTCAGAAGCTTGAAGGAGTGAGGCTCTTTTATTGTTTCAGTGGAAGTTCCAGATCGGTGGAGAAGAAGGAGGAGGAGGGCAAGTTTTGGGTGCAGTTACCGCATTGCCCCTCTTGTGGAATCATGGACTCGCGGTCAAATTTATTTATTGGTTTTTAAAATTCACTTGCTTTGCGATGAAAGGAGATGCAATCGATTACTTTAATCTCTTCTTTCGGTGAAGAAGGCTCAAGAAGTGCACACCAAAGGAAGCCCCCAAAAGGCTCCTCTTTGACAGCTTGAAAGTGCCCCAAAACATGTTTTCGACATGCCTCAGTCTGTAATTCTACTTCACTAATAGGGACATATAGGGAGAACAGTATTAATGTTGTTAACGGGTTAATTTCGAGGCACTTGTACGATCCATAATCGATATCTTTTTAGCGGCGATGCTCGACCCGCTAGCGAAATTCTCGTAATGTTAGCATGAGAGGAAGCGAAACGTTAGAGAAAGGGGAGATAATGGTGTTTCCATGAAGATCTTTCAGGAAGTAAAAAAGGGAGATTATCAAGAATGGTATTGGAAAAAACTCTTTGCTGATGGCAAATGAGCATACCCATTATAAGGCAAAGCCCAAGAAATCTTTCTTCTCCATAAACCAGTCATAGGGTCAAAATAGTAAAAGGAGGGAATCAAGCAAGAAGACCAATGATAGATCGCACATGGTCCAGTTGGACAGTCGCATACACTCCATCGGCAAGCAGGGGATGGAGTCAAGAATCTAGTGCTGGTACAACACAACTTGTTTGTAAATTTGAAATTGGACATAAAGAAATCATCATGTGGAGATGGCATGAGAGGACGAGAGCACAAGTGAAGCCTGTCTGTACCCCCTCAAGCAGTGTCACATCCCATGGGTGTTTGGGAAGGAGTCCATGTGGCATGAGCCATATGATGTGGTGAGAGAATGAAGGAAAGGGGGCTTCCATTGCTTCCATTGACAGCCAGTCCATGAAAGATTAGCAATGTCATTATTGGCTTTGTGTAAATTTCTATGTCCAATCTTCTTCGAGTTCATGTGCCACTTCGTGGTTTTTGTTGCATCTGGGTCCCCACCTTGAATGCTAGATCAGATGGTATGACACCATCTCTAATACAAAAATATCGTTGGACCAATTTCCCCCGTCTCTAATTCTTGTAATTCAAAGTTTATCTTAGTCGATAGGTCCTATGATAAATATAAAGCCAGATCAAGACGGTTAGATAGAAGAATGGTCCCTTCCAAAAGATCCTAGGAAAGCCCGAACTTGCGATTAAATGTAATGAGGCGAATGATGAAGGAATACGATAAGCGATTTAGTCAAATTTATATTGCTAGTTATGCATGAATTGATTGAATATTTTGTAGCAGATGTGAGACCATAGCTTAAATATATTGCTACGTTGGTCACTTCTATTGCCAATGATGTATTAGTGAATCGTACGAGCTCGATGATCTTTTGACAAGTGTAAGCTTCTATACATGTAGTTATTGAGGGATTCACACGACTTGTGTAGTTCATCTTTTTTTTTTTGTATAATTTATGTATCTTTATTATTAATTTTCTAAGGTAAGGTTTTATTAGATACGAGATATTTTTCCTCCGAAAAAGTTGCAAACATACAAACAGTTTTTCATTTGTTAATTTTTTTTTACACTATTTATGAAAATCCTTTTCTTTGGAAAGGTTTGCAAACATGTCATGAAAGTATTTGATTGCACAAATCACACGATTCGGGAATTTGTTATTAAATAAATCAAAATCGACTTGACCCAAATGATAATAATAACTCGATAGATTGATTTTTTTTTTTGGTGAAAATTGAATTGTTAATATACCTAAATATCATAAGGTTGAGAAAAAGGTAAAAAAGTCAAACTGGTACACCTGTGACAAATTTACTTTAAACCAATTTTTTAACCATAAAAAACCTAAAACTAATACACTCGTGATAAATTTACCCTTCGTAAAATTGAATTAATATCACGAAAAATCACAAATTTGTAAACCCGTGACAAATAAAGAGATAAAATCCCAAGCTGGTATACCCGTAAACTGTTACGTGTCATCAAACTCAGTAACTTAGCGGTAAAATTTAACGGAAAATAATGAGAGTAGATTTATTATAAGTATATCAATTTGGGATTTTTAGTGGTCAAAAAATTAATTTGAGATATATTCATAGGAAAATCTCGATCCGTATTTACGTAACGAATATCTTCGAATACGAGTAGCCGAGGAGAGGATAAGCAAAAAGCTCCAATGGAAGCGCAGCTGCTCCTGCAATCTCTGGCCCCCGTCCCGATCTTCCCCAAGTCGAGCCGCTGCCCCTCGCCCCCACGCCGCCGAGCTCCGCTCAATCCCGCCGCCTTCGTGCGGCGGGCGCCCCGGACCTCGGTCCCGAGATGCGGCGCCCCCGAGAGCGAACCGGGCGGCGACCTGAAGGGCGCGCTGTCGGGCATGGTGGGCGAGCGGGTGGAGGAGCTCCTGCGCAGGGAGGAGAACAGGGGGTTGCTGGACGGGCTGGAGCGAGCTTCGCGGAGGGTGGACAGGGCCAGGCGGGAGCTCGCGGAGATCGAGAGGCAGGAAGCCGAGGCTCGGCGGACGAGGAATTACGTCGAGCAGCTGGAGGGCAGAGCTGCCGAGGTGCTTTCCTTGACTGTTGATCGTTTGAATTTTAAACCCTTTGAAGGAAATTCCGCATTGTGTATTGGGGAACGTGGGAAGATTTGGGATGCGACCGGCTCTCTCTTTTAAATTTGAAATCTTGGGGAAAGCTGCGCGGTGAGACTGGTATGAGCGATTCATTAGGCTTGAGAGGGGCAATGAATAGTTTCGGTAGAGAGAGAGAGATGATCTTTGAAGGGGTAGATTGATTGAGCTGCTTGCGAGCTCCTCCTGGTCGATTTGAGCTCACTCGATGCGAATTTGGCTCGAGTTTTTATCGAGTTTTGAGTTGTCAAGTCTCGAATTTTGACGTATCCAATCGTCACATGATTATCGCTCCTGTGGTAACATCAGAATCACTGTAATTTCTGTTGTTTTTTATTGTGTTTCTTATGCTCGAGTCGGAAATTCTGAGTTCAAGCTTGAGCTGGAGATTTTCTTGAGTTGTGCTCTGTAGTATTCTTCTGACTATCGAACCAAGTCGAAATGAGCTCAAGGGGGTCGAATTATTATAAACTCCGACTAGAGCGTGACTGATCAAGCTCGATGGAACTCAAGTTGATCGGAGTCCTCATTTTCGAATCAGATACAGCAGAGAGTTGAGCCGTGTGTCTCGGTCATGTTCTTTGTCGGAAGAACGCGGCTTGATTGCTCTCCTGATCATGACATTACTCCAGTGTTTGATTATCATTGCGTCTCTGACAAGGAAATCGTTGTTGCGCGTGTTGAAGATTGCAGAATCCCAGAGGGAACTATCGGAAGCAAGGGCCTTGGTCGAAGAAGCCGAGCGCTCGCTCTCCCAAACCGCAAAAGCTCAGGATGAAGACCAAGATGGCACGCAAATTAATCGAGAAGAAGAGAGATGGGAGTCTGTTAAAGCAGCTTCTGTGTCTGCACTGGTAGGTACCCTCGCGGGTCTACCGCTTTCGCTCACTCAGGTCGCCGCGGTCTCCCAGCTGGTACTCCCTTTGGGGATTGACTTCATCAGCTGCGCGCTGTTCGGAATCACCTTCCGCTACGCAGTCAGAAGAGACTTGGACAACATCCAGCTCAAGACAGGAACGTCCGCGGCTTTCGGATTCGTTAGAGGTACATGCTTTTGAGCTCACAGACTGACGAAACGATTCCTCAAACGTTATGTAACGATTTTGCGCTGAATGTTCACTGTTATGAATTTGCGATGCAGGTCTTGCTTACCTGGGCGCAGGCCCGCCTCTGGAGCTGAATTTGGAAAGTTTCCTGTCGCACGCCTTTTCAGGCGCGGTGTACATAGCCGAAGGTCTGCTTATATTTGTTTTCGCAGCAGTCGGTCTAGATTTCTGCTTCAAGATGCGGGTTATGAGTCCTTTTCCCATAGAAAGGCCAGAATCAAGAACAGGTTCAGGTTAGACGCGATGTACATATGCTTATATTCAGCTGATAATACAACATTATTCAATGGCCCGATGTCTGCGACTTCTCGACGCCGTTGCCCGGCTCTGGTTTGGGTAGTTTTAGTCTTGAAAAACTGGTCGAGTGGGGTGAAGCGAAGAGGAGTCGAGTTTACATTAGGACCCAGATGGCCGGCATTAGTTCAGTTGGTCCATTTCTATGATCTTTAGATGGTGAAAAGCTTCATTGATGTTCTGGAGCAGTCGAGTAGATTTGAAATGTGACTTTCATATCATCTCTCTCGTTCTAGCTATTGATACGAGGAATCGAGCATGCCAAAATTGAGACTTTCCACATCAATGGCAAGATGGGGAGATTGAAGAGGTGGTATCAGATCTATTTACAAAGAATATTAAGGAAAGAAAGTTAGATTAAAAATCAAAAGCTCCCGCCAAAGTCCAATCTCCATCAGAGTAATCTCCGGCGCCGGAGGCTCTTGGCGGAAGCCTTGGACACCAAGTAGCCCACGCCGAGGCACGCCACCCATATCCCCACGTCGACCGCCCACCTCACTCCCTCCGTGTTCACCTCCCAATCCTCGCCGTCCGATCTGCACTCCTCCTCCTCCTCCCCTCCATCCGATCCGCACTCCCCCTCGCCCTCGCAGCAGCAGCAGCAGCAGCTGCCGTCCGATTCGCTCTCCGCCTCTCCCTCCTCCGGAATCTCCTCCAGCCCGCGAAACGCTCTGCCGCTCTTCCTGCTCCTCTTCCTCGCCACCATCTCCACCCTCTCGCTCATCGCCACATGCCCCTCCGCCGCCACGCAGACCTCCGACACCCACCCGGCGCCCGCCAGGATCTCCCTCTCCAGCGTGCACGCGCACTCCAGTCTCCACTCCAGCCCCTCCTCCCTCCGGAAGCTCCCCCGCAGGGCCTTCTCCTCGCCCATGTACACCTCAAACCGTAGCCCGGGCCCTGCCCAGACACGGTCCCGGGAGCCGTAGACCACGTCACCGCGGCGGGAGGCCAGGGGGGTGACGACGCGGTGGAGGGTGAGGAAGGCGGGGTGGTCGGGGCGGACCTTGGAGCCATCGATCTCGAGGGGGCGGCCGGCGATGCTGGGGAGGTAGAGGAGGGTGAGGGAGTCGGGGAAACGGCCGGGGCCGGGGCCGGGGCCGGGGCTGGGCTCAGGGCAGGAGAAGCGGACGTAGAAGGCCTTGACGTCGAGGCGGTCGGCGGCGGGGGAGGGGGAGGGGCGGAAGTGGGGGAAATCCGTTGACCTGCACATACTATGGTCCGAGCAACGGCTACGTGATATTATGGAAGAAGAAGAAGAAGAAGAGGAGGAGGAGGAAGTATGTTTGTATTTGACAAAATCCGTGAACGAATGGGAGTTGATTTTGGAGGGGGTTTAATATATGGTGGTGTGGGAACGGCGGCAGAGACGTGGGGGACCGGGAGGAACGTGATATCCGGGGGGTGGGGTGGTGAGGCACACGGTTTTTGGAGGGGACTTGGATTTTTCCGTGTCTGTTTTTCTATCTTCCTTTGTCTTTTTGAGATATTATCTCCATACAAAATATAAAAAGATAATCGATAAATTAGTTAAAAGAACCCAATTAAATTATCACTTTTCATGAAATTACTGCCCCCACCCCTTCATTTTAAGTGTCTCTCAATACTTTGATGAGACCCATTTGTTTGAGTTATAGATGTAATTGGTACTTCGAAGGCTTTTTTCCATTTCGTATCGAACATAGCGAAAGATGCGCTCGTCGTCGCGATCTATATTTCCCGGACGGTGGGTATCCCTACGTCTCTCTGATCGAAAGAATTTCCATGCGACCGAGATTCTGACTGGTGAATCGAAATACGGACGCCATCCACGTTTGGTTTCGGTTAAGTTCGTAGACGGGTGATTGTCCACAATTTTGTAATCCACGGATCAAAATACGGATTAGAGGAGGTTTCTTTCGTCAATCGAAGATCGAGAACGATATAATCAAGAATATCGATCGAGGTCGATAACAAGTGGGATATAAAGAATTATTGCGATGTTGAAAACAAGGGGCGCCTCTCTATTTTTTCTTTTTATAAATGTTTTTGGGCAGTGGGTGGTTAGGGTTTGGCTTGGCTTGGCTTGGCCTGGCCGACGAAGTTGCAAATTGCGACTTGCAAACGCCGTGAAGCGTGAGGAGGATGAGCTTCCGAGTAGCTGGCCCCCCATCACCTTTTCCTCCTGATTCCTCTTCTAGAATTCTAGATTTTGTGTTTTCATTGAGGCGATGTCAATAGTCCACACACAAACCCCGTGTATACACCCTTTTTCGCCCTCGAAAAATATTATCATCATCGACTGACTGACCGACCGGCGTCGAAAATCGAAAGGTGGGTGCGATATAGTTTTCAAATTAGTTAAGAGATTAAATGGAATCGGATTTTTTTATTTCCATTTTTCCTACCACTCGTGTAATCATCAAAAGAATCGTGTGGCATGCACAGCTATACATGCATATGGAAAAGGGACGGCTCTGGATTGCATGAACGACGTTGCGTTTTGCCGTCCGTCGTTGTCGCAATGACCCAACCCCAGCTTTTTCACGCAATGTCGTTTAGCTTCTGACCCTTGTCTTGGACCCCCCTCTTGGATAATACCATGGGCTGAACTGAAACTTGTCTTCCCTTTCCCGCTCGGCTCTTGTCATCCTCTCCAGCAAAATGACGAGGCGAGGGATCGAGTTCCTTGTGAAGCACCTCCCCTCGATAAGAGAAAAATCCGAGCATGACCTCACGGCACGAGAGCTGGAGTCCGAATTCGGCGACTTTTTCCACAGCAAGAGAAGTTCCGCCTCTTGGCCCCTTCAACTCTTTGGATATGTGTTCGAGTCGCTCTGATTCGGTTCTTCTCGCAAGTCGAACTAACTCAGCAGCGCGGGAGCCTGCGCTTAACATTCACAATACAAACATATTCAGAAGGAGAAAAAAACATGGATGACCTATAGAATTCACAAGAACTAACTCAGCACAACTTTCACTTTACTCCATCTCTATTACACTTGATTAAAGAGTCCATGAATGAAATCCGTTCGGATACACATAATTTATCCCTTGAATTTTCCAGGGGACAAGACTTCGATTCACAATTAAACTCTCTTCTCTGAAACCCTTTCGGAACTAGCATGCTGGGCTCTATAAGCTTTTGGCCCCTTCTGTGTGTGTTGAAGTGGACTAAGCCTACTTACACCTCTGTCCGCTCTCATTTTGACTCTGTTTTATTAAAAAAGAAGAAGTATGTTCTCTGAAACATGAATTTATATATATATATATATATATATATATATATTTTTTTTTGATCTAGTTAAAGAAAGAACAATATCCTCTCATTGTTTTCCTTTAAATATGATCATCTTCTATATGTATTGTATCATGATAGAGAGAACCTCCTGTTCGGATAACAGCTAAAAACAAGAGATCAAACTAGATGTGAGGGCACTTATTTTTCTTCAAAGTGCTGAAAATTGATTCTGCCGTTGTATATGAATGAAGCAAGCAAATTGCAGGTTAATTGAAGGCTAAATAATACTAGAGCTTGATGCCAACACAACAAAAGTACCTGAAAATACTTGTAATCTCAGCTGTGCAGGGGGGAGCTTTTGTATGGTCATCGGGCAAACCTATCAGCCATAAAATGAAATTAACATGTCGGCAACAATTCTAAAAGGGAGTTTCAATATATCATGCTATCCCTTAGACAGTCTTGTTTGTTTAGAAATAGGACATCAATTACCTCCAACGGCCACCAATCACAGACGCAATCCAGTGTAGACAATTCTAAGGAGTGACATTATCTTCACATATCAGGTTGATGATGCTCGGTCCGTGCAGCTGGGTAACAACAGACGAGAAATGAAACAGCTGTCAATTCTAAGTATTGGTGTCGGCTTCAAGCATCAAGTTGATGCTCAGTTAAATGTAGTGATTTTACATAGCTGGAAAAAATAGACTTGTCTCTAACATCAGAAAAATAGATATATTTGAAGCTTATGGACCATGCAGGCCCATGTAAACCACCCAAACATTTCACCTGATATTCAAAGGTCACAAAGGTTCGTACCTAATCATCTTAGAAACAACCATCATTTAGCCCGTTCAGCAAACTAGATATAACTTAAATGTAGCTTCTCTCAAAGGAAGAGGAAAACGAAATGAACTTAGCCAATATAAAGACATATAGATGGATGCCAAACGTTCAAGATGCACACTTGCCATTGAAACTACACATCTCCCACGACAACATTCTTACCGTGGTGACAGATCCAAATCAAATGATCGTTACTTCAGCAGATGCTTAAGTAGGATAAGCACATTCTCGAAATTCACCTGAATAAAGATGTGAAAAAAGGTCACTCCTATGGTACCGCTTAAGATTCAAAAGATACAAATTCACTCCACAGGATGATCCAGAGTGACCCCAGTAAGATAAGATACATAGCAGACGACAGAAGATTACTGAATGAACATGCGGCAGAGCCAATGGTAGATTCAAGGGTCAAAAGTCAGCTTTGGACTCACAAGTGAGATGCTTATTAACATAATACAACTTATGAGAAGGCATAGCAACAAACCCAATGACTACCAAGCTTTGTCCCACAATGTCAGCGTAAGAAAATTCATGTAAATTTGAACTCCTTTATTAATATGAAAAGGGAAATTCCAGCTCATGAGTACGACATATGCATCTCATCTACAAGTCCATAAAACTGACTTAAGACGCCACATTCTATAATTTAAACGAGTAACATACCAACCAAAAGAGAGGATGACCTAGGAATGTTGAGACAAACAAAATGTGGATGGCTAAGAAGATTTACGAGCACTTACGCCAAGGAGATAAATAGCTTGTGATGCAAGTAAAATGAACTACCTAAGAAATGAACCTTCAGATTCTGGTGTCATCTAATCATTTTTGAAAAACGCATGCTAATAATGGCTCTAGTGCACGGAAATCAGTTTCCCTAAAAATAGACGTGCTGAATAAATATATATTGAGCATATACAAGATAGACCAATAAATGTTAGCCACAAAAGGAGATTGAACTTTACCAGACAGACCAAGAACTTGTTCCAAAATCACAGGTGTTGAGAATTAAGCACAAGATTCTTCCTCATGGCCCTGGATATCTAATATTTGGCCTCTGAAGCCATCCATTAATCAACGTGGTATATGTGATTTTGTTGGACAGTACTCCTCTGCCACACACCTGGTCACACATTTCAGAAATTTCATCCACCTTCCCCAGTTTGCTTAACCCATTTTCCAAGACATTGCTAGTAATGATATCAGGAGCAATCCCATTTACTGCCATCTCATTCAGAAACTTAGTTACTTTTATCATATCACCACATCTAAGATATCCATTAATCATCACAGTATAGGTAACTTTATTGGGGTGTATGTTATTTGAAGACATTTCCAGCAACATGGCCTCAGCCTTATCCATCTGGCCTAGCTTGAAATAGCCATTGATGATGGTGGTGCAACAGAAAACATCTGGCTGGACACCTTCCTTGATCATTGCACTCAAGATGGATCTTGCTTCCTCAACAGAACCATTCGTGCACAGTCCATGCATCAGGGTACCATAAGTGACAGAAGTCGGTGGAATGCCCTCAGTTCTCATTGCATCGCGCAGTTGCAAGGCTACCAAAGTATTTCCGTTCCTGCAATATGCTCTGATCAGTATGTTATAAACAATAGAATTTAGTTGCACTTTCTTCATGACCAATTCATTGAAAAGGTTTTCTCCTTTTTCAAGTTTGCCAGCTCTGCAGTAACCATCCATCATGATTGCATAAGTGTATATATCAGGAGTCAGACCAGCTCTTTTGCATTCATCCCAGAGATTAGTAGCTCTCTCTATGTCACCCAGGTCACAAAGGCCATGTAGTAGCAAATTGTAGGTAAAGATGTCAGCCGGAATGCCTCCCTTAACCATCTCATCCCTCAACTTGAAACCTTTCTCGACTTTTCCTTTCTTGCAAAAAGCCAAGATGAGTATGTTGTATGTTATTATATCCAACACCAAACCCCTTTCTACCATCTCCTTGAGGATCCTAAAAGCCTCTTCCATATTATTAGCTATATAAAGTCCATGAATCAAAGCGTTGGATGTGACTGTGTTGGCTGTAAATCCTTTTCCTAGTAGCGAGAACCAAAGTTCCACTGCATCCGAAATTTTTCCAACTTTACAAAGTCCGCCGAGCAATGTGGTCAACACTGCGTCATTGGGCTTTAAATTTCTCGATAACATTTCCCTAATAAGTCTCAGAGCATGGTCGAATTTAGAACTCCTACATAACCAGCTAGCCACTGAATTAAAAGCACCAGGATTTACAGCTAGCCCCTTCAGTAGCATCTCCTCCAAAAGGAGCTCAGCGCTCTCCATCTGATCTTTTATGATATAACCCCGTAAAAGAGAATTTAAAGTTACTGGATTGGTACTCATACCCTTGGACGTCATATCCTCAATAATCTCTAGTGCCTCGCTGATTTTTCCTGCTTTACAATACCCACTTATCAGAGGGTTGTATACAACATCGTTCAAAACAAACCCTCTATCAGATGCTTCTCCCATGAATATTTTGGCCTCATCAAATCTCTCCAATTTCATGAGGCCGTTAATCAGAATGCTATAAGTTATAAGATTCGGATTCACACCTTTTTCTATCATCTTCGCTTTAAACTGCAATGCAGCATCTAATCTCCCGTTCTTGCAAAGACCATCAATCATACTATTGCACGTAACCGCATTTGGAGACACCCCCGACTCTTCCATTCTCGTAAACAATCGGATAGAATCTTCCACTCTCCCTCCTTTGAAAAATGCATTGATTGCAATGCTAAATAAATTAACATCCGGAGAAACACCGCAAAGCATGGCTTCAAATGCTTCGTAGCACTTCTCAAGCTCGTTCGCCTTGACCAAAAAACTCAACAGAAAATTGCAAGTCTTCAAAGATGGGAACAAACCCTTATCAGCTAATATCCTAAACGCATCAATAGCATAACCAGAACCCTTATCCTGAAATTGGGTACAGCAAACATGTATCAACGTATCCAATGCCCGAGCTCCGACGGCCGGACCAGACACTGCGTTCAGCTCCGCCAACACAGCAGCCAACTCAATGTGTCGATTCCCGAGATCCGCACTCGAAACAGGCAGCTTCCCAAGAATCAACTCTGTCAATAACCACCTCGCACGCGGCAAACGGTCCGAATCAATGAGCAGGAGAACCAAAATGCAGTACGTCCGGACGGTGAACGGGAACTTGAAGGACTGAGCCGCGACGTAAAAGAACTTGAGGGTGGTCTTCATCTTAACGTCCGACCGGACCGCGAAAAACACCCGATCGAACTCAACGGGAGACAACCGCGCAATCACCGACCTACACTGGGAATGGGCGAGGCGCGAGCTCGACAGCATCGACGACACGGACTTGAGCACGCCCTGATCGAGCCGCCGACTCGACAGGGTCGAAGGAGCCGGTTCGACCGAGCCCCCAGGAGGCTCGGGTCGGGGATCACCGGGCGACGGCTGCCCGGAGCGGCGGCGGTCGGGGCGGAGAGGGGACGGGGCATCGGAGGAGAAGCTGATCAAGGGGCGAGCGACGGAAGGGACGGCGGCGAGGGAGGGCTTCGCCGGGACGAGCCTCCTCAAATCCATGCGCGAGCGGGGTTGATCCGAGCGACCCGGAGTGGGAACTCATGAGGGTGGAGGAGGTGGCAGCGAAGGAGACGGGGGGACGGGGAGGAGGAGGAGCAGCGGCAGCGTCGGGCGGAGTTGGTCGGGGCGGAGGAGGAGGAGGAGGATTGGGCGGCGGCGGCGGGGAGCGGCGACGGAGAGGCCACGCGGAGCAACGGACACCATTTGAGGTTCTTCTGGGGTTTGTGCTAGCTCTTTGATGGCAGTATGGGTTGTCGAGTGAAGGAAGATGATCTTGCGATTGGGCCGTGCCGAGGAATGATGTTGGGCCTACGTTTGACGAGCGTCGGCCCGTGAGCCCGACTGGTGGACAGTGGAGGAGTGGTTCCCGGTTGGTTCGATTTTTGCCAACGTTTTCGAGTTTAACAGAAGTTCAAACTTCAAATCTCGACCTTTGCGGAAATCGTTAAGTCTTAGTGATCAGGATGGACATCTGAACATCTCAGTCCTGAACGGTTTTGCCGAACACCATGATGTGCGCCTTCAATCTCACGGATTATTTGGCAGGAACGGCTTGTTTTAGTCACCGATTGATTACCGGCTGCCAAGGTAAATTATTTTAGAGTCGGGTTTTGGGAGTTGGAAGTTTAGGTCGAGGAGGAGGAGATGTGACGGCGGCGCGAGATGGTAATCTGGGTAAGTGAATTTTGGCAATCGAAAGGGCCGGTTGTTGGTGATGGTGGCGAAGGGGATGACCGGGGCGATTTCGTTATTGTAGTGGTGGAAAGGAAAGGATGGAGAAGGGCGGGGCAAACACGCGAAAGTGAAGGTATGATGGCGGTGGTCGGGGTGGTAGAGGGAAAAGCATGTCGATGGCCACGGTATGCAAGGCTATTGATGGCAGCGACGGCGGCGGCTGTGGTGGTGAGGGAATTGCGAACAGCTCCCAAGGACCCTAAGCTACAGGAAAGCTGTTAGGAGTTTAGTTCGAGCATAACTTTGAAATGGGTAAGAAAGGTTCACAAAAGAAGGAAAGCAACAGTACATGCAAAACACAGGCCATAAGAAACGAACGTGTTAGTTCATTAAAAGCGGGGATTCTGCCACCATCACTCAATGAGACCAAGTGCGGGCAGTATACATAAAACCTCACGGTTTAGCTGATACAGAAATATGTGTCGTGCTGAGTGCTCGTTCCGAGTCGCATGGACTTGTAAAGCGACCCATAGACGAGAGTTCTATGTCAATAAGGTCCCCGACAGGTCAGACCAGAATAATGTACCAACAGAAGCCAGCGAAAACAAGGAAAAAGGGATCAAGAAACCGATGCCCCTAGTTTGTCCTGAAGAGTGACCACCAAGTCGTGCGCGTCGTCCAGAAGCTTCCACACATCCAAATGACCAGCCATGCTATTACACTCCCTCATGATATCCTCCATGCTGCTATACTTCTCTATAATCAACTTCCTCCTCTGCAGCACACAAGCAGCAATTGCGTAAAGCAACAGATCGTCAGTAGGTGGGGCCCGCAGCCTCATCCTCCCCCAAGCGGACCTGGCGATCCCGGCCCTTACAGCGGCCTGATCGGCCCACATCACCTCCCAGAGGCACAAGGTTTGCTCAAAGTTCAATTCTCTCCTAAAGAGCACGACCACCATTCTGTAGACAAAGAAGCAATCCTCAGCTTGAAGCTTCTCCAGATGGCTGTAGAGATGGGAGTCCTTGCACTTTATGATCTTCGAGACAATGTTCAGCTGTCTACGGATCCCCACCTCGTCTAGCCTAAAGTTGTGGCGTGCCTTTTTCATAAACCCCACAAAACACCAGAATGCTTCATCATCCTCCTCCATCACTGAGATAATCGGGGAAAGCAGATCGCTCATCCCCTGGCAGTAACCAATCTCTGGGTCGTACAGTGCATAAGCTTCAAGGATAGAGACCAGACGAGCAGCGTGAAAAATCCGAGAAGGCTCGAGATGGTCATAATCTTTCAAACCCACACTGTCAGCAAAACGCCTTGCCTTCATTTCACTCACTGTTGCCTGAGATGGAGAGTAAATTACCCAATCAGCATTTGCTCGCAGAGCATCGAGGCGGATGATTCTCTGCCACGTGGCAAAATCTTCATCACTATGTATCTTGGTCTTGGTTTTAGTAGCAGGCACAGACGAACTTTCTTCAGTAAGCTCACTGATGTCACTTACTCCGACTTCTTCGGTTGGAAGAAAGTGGGGTATACTATCAATCTCCTCAGAGGAATCGGAATCAGTAGAATCCGAGTCACCAGCGGAGGCACCCTCACGCATCAGTCCACTTTTTTCCATGTTTCCTTCCACTTTTGAACTAGAAGACTGGAGAACCTCACCCTGGTCCTTTTCTGTATCTCCTTCCACTATTGTATGCGAGCATTGCGGGACCCTATTTGCATTCTGCAAATCTCCTTCTGATATTGCAGTGGAGGATTGAGGGATCTGAAGTCCACTCTTATCGCTACCTCCTTTTATAGTCATACCTGAGGATTGAATCACCTGATCTCCATTCTTTTCCATATTATTATGTCCTTTAACAGTTGCACTGAATGATTGAATGACCTGATCTCCATTCTTCTTCTGTGAGTCTCCTTCCAGAATGGTATGAGAGGATTGAATGACCTGATCAGGACTGCTTTTCGTGTCTCCTTCTGCAATCAAATTGGAGGACTGAGAGACCCCATCGCTCATAGGACTGACTGTGCCATCAACATAAGTGCCAGTGCCATCCCCCTCCACGCAAGGTGATCTCCTCGAACTTACATCATCATCCATGGCAGAATCCAGAACTTGACTGAAATCCCCACTGCCTTCATTACAGCTGTCTCCAGCACTTTCCTTTGACATTAAACTCTTCTCACTGCGGCTGAGGATTTGCTGACACTGTTTCCGTAAACTCTCATATTGTTTTCTACATTGCAATAAAAGAGCATCAGGTACACAACAACTAAAGCCAGGAATGAGGTATATTAACAAGCCACATAATCTGAGAGTACCTATTTTGACTTCTAAGAGAATCCCTTTCTTCCTTGGAACTGTTAATGTCATACCTGTAAGACCAGAAAACATCAACATAAGGAGGGAAATGAAAACTTTTGAGACATTAAGGATCAAAATGTAAGTACTTTGCACATGCCACCTTGCTGAAATTCAACCAACTAAAGAAGAGCGATGAAAGCAATAGACATCCAAAAACAGCATAGAAATATCATGAGAAAGTCGTAATAACTCCATATGTTTGAAAGGATGAAAGAAAAGGACAAAATCAAAGGGAGAGAACTTGGATTATCCCAAAAATGACGGCTATGGACTATAGGATAGAACCAACTAACTGTTGATTTCAAGTTATCATTATCTCCAAAATTCCTCTTAAGGATGATGGGTGAATGTAACTCCATCAATTCTGACTTTAACCATGACTCGTATTATAAACCGAGTGGTTGGATTTTAACTCATAAAACAGTTGGTTTGATGCTTCTGAGTGACAAAAGTAAAGATATGACCACAATATAATACCTCATTTGATGTTATATGTTATCAGCTTTTGATGTACACACTCATTTTCACTCAAAAGCCAAAGACATTGCTACTACTTCTGGTTTCTACTACTGACATAGTTCGAGTTTCCCCCATATTTTGATTTTCGCAAAAACAAAAACATAATTTCGCTTACAAAAGCAAAATCTCCGAATTCCTTAAGTCAGCAGTAGAAGCAAAGACTAAAAAATCCCCCACAAGCATGCTCTAATGTTGCCATTAACACAACCAACAATGACCAAATTAAATACTTATAGCCATACAAGAGCCAACACTAACAGCCTAATCCTTCCATTGATCCATAAAAGATTCAGAAATACAAGCGTTTAGAATGCGAAGTTGTTTTTCAAAGGTCAAATGCAAAAGCACTTGAGTAAAACATGGGAAATCACTTACACTCCAAGGAGAAACGGCCAAACCTCTGCTCTAATACTTGGATCAATACCCTGCAACAAAAATAACAAATCAAACTTAACCCACAGAATAGGAAATTAATTTGAACCAAAGATTTGCAGCAACAAAAATTAAAAATCAATGGGTGCAATAATCATTATATATATATAGATATAACCAAAGAATTTAGTTACTTACTCCACTCCGCACTTTTTTCAGAAATTTGACTCCACCATCAGAAAGTTTTCCATCAGGTGTAAATAAGCTCTTCCATTGCTTCGGCAACAGCGCATGTTTTCTTCTTCTCCGTGACCATGGGGATTTAAGACTACCCCTGAAAGTGGAGAAGGAAAATTGTTAGTTAAACCAAGAGGAAATGCAAGACAGACCAACGAAGAGTTCTACAACAAATCAAGAAGTAGACGGCTAAGCAATGAGTACTTGTGCGCAGCAGATAGACAGCTATTGTTAGCAAATATAAGCATAATATCCTAAGAAACAAGAACTTGAATCTTGTCAGGAATCGTCAAAATATTTGCAAGCCACAACGGAGAGGTAAGGTCACTTCGAGGGGGGGAAAGCAAGTGTAGACCATACTAGCATCCATATAACACAGGGAGACAGAGAGAGAGATAGAGAGGCATCGCGATTGTAGAATATGTTATCTTCCACCAACAACATAGTTCTCTACCACCCACACTGTTGCAATCTTTCCCCTCTCGTACACAATTATCAGCACGAAGCAGAATAAAGAGGTTCCTATTCTGCAAATACCTAGTGATTTTTGCACAAGACCCTACACATTTAACATTTAATTCAAAAGCTTCCTTCAATGACATAGAATAGGACAGCATGACATAATCAGTTTCAATGCATTCACTCGATTCACTTCCATCCAATTCTTTCTCGACTTCTTGTAACTAACTCGAAACCAGTTCTACCCACTCTCTTAAATGTAAAACAAATGCACAAAAATAAAGCTGTCATTGAAGTCCTTATCACACTGTCCTCATTTGACAGATTAGTTTATTTTTCCCTTGCCTCTTTTACACCTCCTCAAACTACCACAACAGTCTCAGCACTTAAAATTGCTAGCCGGAACCTGTGGAACTAAAACCCAAGATGCAGAAACAGAGAGAGAGATCGACAGAAGCAATGGCAGATTGAGCAAAGGACCAGAGAGTTTCCACAAGAAAAAAACTAGTTGTGCGAGGTAACAAAAAATTCAGTAGATCTGGATCCAAAGGCAAATTGAAGAAAATCGAGAACCCAAAAGAGTGAGTGTAATCCAGAGCAGCCAAAATGACCCCTTTTGAACACCAGATTGGGCAAAACAAAAATTGGAAAGGAACAGAATTGAATTGAAAGTATCAGCAGACCAGATTTAAAAAAGAGGAATGTGGAACTCACCGGCTAGAAGGAGCTGGTGAGGACGATGAGGAAGCGACGACTAACAAGACCGATCGCAGATGAATCCACGATGAAGACGACGACGACGACGACGCCGCAGCTGTGGAATTTGGCGGCGAAGAGGAATTGGACGCCGACGACGGCGAAGACGAAGTGTTACTTCGCCGAAAGGATTTCATTAAAGGCTGTTTCTGTTGAGTGAGCATCTGGACCTTCTAGTTTTTACCTATCAATCAATCAATCTACCAACGAAAAGGGCTTTATTCCCTAGGGTTCTGATTTCGACGAGAAGAACGGAATCGAGCGCGCTAGTTTTCACCCTCCGTTCTCGAGAATCGCGATTTCGGGATTCGGCGTATCTCTACCTACGAGAGTAGACGAGGGTGGCGGCCAAGGCGAGGCCGGCCATGGCCGTCACGGCGATGGCTATCGTTCCCACATTGGAAGGCGCTGCCGCCGAGGACCAGAACCTCCCGCCGCCCCCGCCGCCGACTAGCGACCCGCTCCTCGCGCCCCCGCCGCCGCCGCCGCTGCTCCCGCTGCCCTCGGCGAGCAAGATCCGCGCCCCGTCATTGCCGCCGCCGAAGCCGGTGGTGAACAGGAGCATCAAAAACAGGGCGGCCGGGCTTGCCCCGGCGAGCCGATCGTCGGTGATCTCCCCTCGCAACCGCCGGATGCCCAATACCATCACCGACGGAAACCCCCCACCGCGTCCCCCTCTCTCTCTCACTCTCTCTCTCCGGCGTGCGAGCTCCGGCGAGGTGCTTTTCTTCAAGGGAGCCTCTTCACTCGCTTTTCCATTGAAGAAGAAGAAGGTGAGGAAAGATGAACAGTGAGATGCTCTATCGACTAAATAAAATACGTAGATAAATAAAACAAAATAAAATAATGATTACGCTTTTTTATTAATTACAGTTTTCGACTCTTTTTTCTTTTTTTCTCGCTTTTGCCTCTCTCCACGTCTCTTTCTCGGGGAATCCCGGCCCGGCCCGGCCCGGCCCATTTCGATTTCGTAGGCCCACCATTTCCGCTCATCATATATATATCATCATCATCATTTAGCCTCATTCCCAGCTCTTGCAATTCTTTTTCCCAACTTTTTTCTTTAAATCACAACTTTATTTTATGGCCAAAAGAAAAACCTCTTGCAATTTTCTCCCCATATTTTGACGTCTGGTGAATGGTCGGGTCGAGCCGGTCGAATATTGTGCTTGAGAAGCTTTTTTTGTGCCTGTTTTTTGATTAGAGAATATCGATTACCGCTTCAAAATGATTGGATAAAGGGGAGTGCAAGAAAGTTTCTCCCCATATTTTGACGCCTGGTGAATGGTCGGGTCGAGCCGGTCGAATATCGTGCTTGAGAAGCTTTTTTTGTGCCTATTTTTTTACTAGAGAATATCGATTACCGCTTCAAAATGATTGGATAAAGGGGAGTGCAAGAAAGAGAATTGCTTGCCTAATTTGTGCTCCGAGCTTGGTGCGCTTGCACAGATTTAATGACCTACTGGACAAGATCCAGTTGTGATCGAATGATGCCTTGTATGTATGCTAACCAATTGACAGGGCAAATAACATAGAAAGCCCCAAATTATACCCCGCCGTGACATAAATACCCAAGATTTTTTTTTTATCACCAAAAACCCTAAACTTGCCCACCGCGACACTAATACTCCCAACTTTTTTTGTGTCATGAAAAAACCTAACCTAAACTTATATGTGTGTGACATTTGTGCCCTTTATTTCAATTCCATCCAATATATATTTGTCACGTTAGTATAAGTTCGGGATTTTTTACGACACAATAAAAATTTCCAGGAATTTATGTTACAATGGGCAAGTTTAGAATCATTAGAAACAAAAAAAATTTGAGATTGCAGTGGGAAAATTTGGGGGTTTTTAATAATATTAACCCTTATAACTATGATTCGTTTGTTTGGTTACTATGTCGCAATTTACCTCCCTTTTGTGAACCAGCCCTTATGCATAGCATTACTCCCCTCAATTCTTTAATTATATCGTTTCACTTTTTGCTATGAGTGTCAATGGTTCGGTTCGGGTCCGAACGGAACCGTTAGGATGATTAGGATGATTGCTTGAGCCAAATCGAATTGGAACTCGAATCGAAAACCCAGTTCAGTTCGGGTTTTTCTTCACAAGATAAAGTTTAGTAAAGCAATCATCATCTCTGTGGCCTGCTATCATATATTATAGGAGTAATTCTCCCATTAACGATACTTTTCAACTCGACAAGAGATAGACAGCCGCCAAGACTTCCGGTCTGCTCTTCATGCCCGAGACAGCCGCTATGATCGTTTGCTTTCACCACAAGACAGGAAACGAAGACAAAGGTGAAAGATGAGGATATGGAAATACCATATGAAACCAAAGTAAAAAAGACAAGCAGCTCCACAAAAGAAGGCGAGGCTCCATCCCAAACCCAACACAAAGCATGGAAATTGAGAAAAAGAGAGCATGGAGAGAGACTCAAAGGGAAGACAGTGCACTCATTGATGCTCGGGCCACATGATGCCCATCTGCTTTTGCCCCCCTCCCGCTCCATTCTAAAAGCAGTCACAACAAGCATGGCATCCGGGGCTTCACTCAGTTGTCCTATAAGCAGTGTTTTTTCTTTCTCTCTTTATTGAATTTCTCTTTTCTTACTTCTTACTTTTCATCATCTTTGTTCTTCTTTTTCTTCCTTTTTTTCTTGGAGGGGATGAGCGGTGCTTTCACTTTCATTATTGCTGCCCGGGTTGCTTCAATGCCATGGCTCTTGTGGATCTCATTGGGTATGGATTCATGATCCAATTCTCAGACATATGCACAATGTTTGGTGGAGAAAAAAATCTTTAAGGACATGGATCGTCTTGTCGAGGGTCTATTATGGATCGGACAATCACAATGGTTGGTGGCGATGGTGGTGAGTCCGATGTGAATTCCAAGTGATTTTAACGATCGCCATGATATATATAGTTCATAGGGCTCTGATCTAAGGAAATACTTCTCCATTTTAGGGGGGGTTAAATGTTCACCTATCACTCAAAAATAAGAAGAAGGTGTCCGATTCATGTCCCGCGTATAATCTAACATCTTCAACTTCGTAACAGTCGATCATGTTCAGACTGAAAATCTATCACTCATCCGGAACAAAACTGCGGTCCAGATATAAGTCACCAGAAGAGGGTTTATGTACGATAATGAACTATTCATTTGCCCACTAAATTCCATTCTGCTAAGGCAATGATGCTCGTGCCATGCACGCATCGATTGCATGGTGCCTACGGGAAAGCTCGCGACCAAGCAACGAAAGCCCACCCTAGCTTTGGGTTCACTGGACCGGGTGGATCAGAACTGTCGATTTTATGGATCCCACGCGAGACTTGCATCGTCGATATCACGACACCAAACGGTTATCGTGGATTGGGTCGACTGGGACCCATCGCACGAGGGACCCGCCCCCCGAAGGAATTGGTTGTACTTGGGCCCCACGGCCAGATGATTCCCCCGTCCGAACGGACCACAGTGACCCAACCCAAAAGCGTTGAGGGTACTGTGGTTGTCGAAGGATGTGGCCACCTTCATTTCGCAAACGCACAACCGTGGGGCCAAAGAAAAGGACGTGGAGATGTGGACCGATGATCCAAATCATGGATCAATGTTGCGACAAAGTACAACTTCTTCGAAGAAAAATAACGCAAATAGTTTCTGAATTTCGATCTAATGTATAATATGACTTCTAAGTTGTTCAATATGATTCATGAATTTTCATTTTCAATACAGAATTAATTGAAGGATAACATTGAACATATTCATATAATTCATGGACTAAATTGAACATGTAGCAAAAGTTCAGGGACCACATTATACATTAGAGTAAAGTTTATGAACCATATTGAATAAATTAAAATTTTAGGAACTATATTACATATTGGGTTAAAGTCGAAGATGAAAAAGGGCAATGTGTGCGACGTGTGCTGGTCTCCGTTTTAGCAATCGAATCATAAAAACCAGTTTAGTATTTTCGTGTTCGACGAGTATGAAGTGAGTAAGCTCATATTATCATTTAGATTATAAGTTTTTGTAATTGTTCTTTTTTTTTTTGGGTTGGGAGGGGGGGTTAAGTGCATGATGGGTAATTAGAGTTCTCGTCTTTGGTCAATTGGGCTCTTGAACATTTTATTTTGATTAAATAAAAACAGTTTTTAAAAAATTATGCAATCGAGTCTCGAATTCTCTCTGAGTGGGTTTCCGACACGGGGAAAGCCTACGTGCCTCCCCACGTTGCCTTTTTTAGATGCCATGTGATCACGGACTTGAGAGCCACGTAAAGATTTCCTTGCATCGATAGTCCATTGACAGCTAGCTCAGGACTGGATTGCTTCCTCTCTAAGGCCCGTTTGGTAACGTGCCAAACAGTGAAAATTTCTATTCTTTTATTCCCAAAAATAGTTTGGGAACAGAAATGCGTTTGGTAAACTTTTTGTTCCGCACATTTTTGCAAAAATTTGTGCCGAGAAACAATTTTGAAAGAGAAACAAGAAGTAAAAAAGTTGCTTCTTGTTTCAGACAATTTTGAAAATCAATTTTTTTTTTTTTTTTCTTTTCTTATTTTTGTGTTGTTCTTCCTTGGGTTGGGCCGGCGGGCGGCAAACGGCCACGACCCTAGGGCCGGCGAGGGCGTCACGGCCCTCGCCGCCCGCCGGCGGAGGCGAGGGTCGCCCTCGCCCTCGCCGCCCGCCGGCGCGAGGCGAGGGTCGCCCTCGCCCTCGCCCTCACGCCCCTGTGGCTGTGGCCGCTGCCCCCGGTCCGCCGGCGACCGGCCATGGCCAAAGAAGAAAATGGTAGAAAGAAAAAAAAATTTAACAATTCAAAATATTATTTGAGAATAGAAATTTTGTGTAGTTACCAAACGCATTTCTGTTCTTTTCTACTATAAGAATAGAAATTTTGGACAGTTTACCAAATGCCTTCAAATACTCATAAATTATTTTCGGGCACAGAATAAAAAAAAATCATTTATATTCAGAAATAGTTTTCGGGCACAGAATGGTATTCATACGCACCCTAAATGAACATCAATTTTAATTGATCGAAAAACGAAACTCCACGAAATCAATTGACTAACGGCAAAATGTTAAGAACCAATCGTGCAATCATCCCAAGTCAAAGAGAGAGACGACCCTAACTTTGATCAGAAATCTAAGTACGTGAAAATTCGAAAGTCATGCATAAGAGAATTAACTACTTAGATTCATACGAGTTTGCGTTGTCTAGAAACAATGACCGTCAAGCTTCAACGTTTTCATGGGGTTGTGGCGATGAATTTGTTAACCTTCGACTTTCGAGTCACGAATATTGTAGAATAATTGCTACTTAATCCAAACATTCCGTAACGGGTATAAGATCCTCGTGATAATATGCTCGGGGAGATGTATCGGCGACACGTTAAAAGCCAATGAAAAAAAGGGGAAAAAAGTCGAAACACCATAAAATATGTTATATTTTTTTGATGTTTTTGCCGGTGTCTCAAATTCTCAACCACGATTGGATCGAAAATGAAGTGAAGCCGGCCGGAGTCGTGTCATCCTAACCACCGCGCGAAAGCTTGGCCGGTGGCCGGTGCACTATTCGGGTCGACTTGTTAACCATGTTTAGTAAATAAAATATTTTCAATTTCAGCGCATTGGACAAACGTTTTTAAAAGGTAACAAATTTTCTTTGTTATTATTGTTAATAAAAACCCTATTCTTAAAAAAAAGATGCCGGAGGTCATCTCGCTTCTGCGGGCGGTTCCTGCTTGCGAGTGATGCGGGCGAATTTTTTTTTGCTATGCCGAGCCTTGGCTATGCCGATCGGAATGTGAAGTTTGCTTCGGACGGGTTAGCCTGCTTCGATTCAATCCTTTCGATTGGTTGAGTAGGTTCAATTATGCCGTGATAGAGTACAAGGCTTTCATGTATTGAAGTTTAGGTAAACAATGCAATGAAACCAAAAAGTAATTAGTAAAAGTGGACAGAGTTGAGGAAAGTTCAACGTATAAAACATGCCTGGTGTCTGGTGAGGAAGGTGGAATACATAGCTTCGGAGCGCTTATCGAGTTTATTTTGAGGCGAAATAATCGATTTTGAAAAATTTGATTGTACATGACACGAGGGCAAATAGTACAAATCATATATTTTTTAAAATATTTGACAAGTGTCTCTAGATATTCGTGAACAAAATTTTAAGTAAAATGCATCAATTGCGTGTTGTCTCTCTTTTATTAAGGAGCTTTTCGAGAGGTTTTTGGAACACATTAATTTGCACCTTGTAAAATCATGATTATCGCGGGAGAATAAATAAATGAGTTTTGTCGACATACATTCCATGACACTTGTTAAGTAGTTACTGATCTTTCTCGTAACATGCGTGATTAAACCATATAAAACTTTAGAAGTAATCGATCGATGAAAAACTATTAACAATTTTTGTCTAAACATATGCAAGAACCACAAGCATATTTTTCGTTCATTTCATTTTGTAAGCGATACAAGCGATCCTTCGTAAATTTATTTTTTTCCAAATCATTGTTTTCGAAACAAACACGCTCTAAATAGACTTGGCAAATATGCTCCGAAGCACTCGTCATCAACTTTACCCCAAGTAAATTGCAACATTTTTAGTGATTAATTAATTTAAATAGTCAATTAAATAGAGAGTACTTTGAAAAATTTCTTGGTCGTCCGACGTGGCCACTTCACAATAATATAATAATAATAAAACTCGCGGTCTCACCGGGAAAACACTCCAACTCGCCAATTTCAACGCTTTTCTCGTCTTTGACCCCAAAAAAAAAAAAAAAAAAAAAAAAAGAAGAAAACGTCGTGAGCGCGAGCGAGCCCCAGCAGCAACCAATGCCAAATTGCTGCTTTGGCTCTTCGCCGCCGCCGCTCTCCTCCTTCCGAGGCCCCGCCCCTCCGCCTCCGCCTCCGCCGCCGGCAGCCTCGCCCCGCCGCGTCTCCGCCGTCCGCGCCGGCGCCGCCATGCCCGGGCCCCACCCCTCCCTCGAGGTCCTCGGCGGGGGCCGCGACCTCTTCCTCCCGGCGCTGACGACGCTCGGCCGGCCGTACCCCCCGTTCCCCGTCGTCGGCTGGAACCGCCACGTGGAGACGATCTTCGCCTCGTTCTTCCGGTCCCTCCCGGACGTCAGGCTCCGGCGGGAGTGCCTCCGCACGCTCGACGACGGCGCCGTCGCCCTCGATTGGGTCTCCGGCGACGACCGCAGCGTGCCGCCGGATGCGCCGGTCCTGATTTTGCTGGTACGCGACTGCATTCCTGCGTTTCTCTCCTAGTGTGTCGTTAGAGGGAGTTCGTCACGTCGCTTGCGATTGTTTTCCGTTTAGTTTTCGACAGATTGGAGGAATTAAAGCTCGTAATTTAGCGAAACGTGAAGACGCATTTCATCCCCTCTGTCTGTGTAGTAAAAGCCCGATGCTGTTTATGGTTGTGATGGCCCGAAATTCTTGTACTTGCGTAGCTTTTGTACAACGCACTGGCTTATGATTAGACTGGAGTGTAATGCTTTCTTCGATCTATTTGTCGCCATCTCTGAAATGGTTGAAGCGAGTTCGATCTAGAATGTGGTTGATTGCAGCCTGGTTTGACGGGCGGCAGCGGAGATTCGTACGTGAGGCACATGTTGGTGAGAGCTAGGAGTAAGGGATGGCGCGTCGTGGTGTTCAATAGCCGTGGTTGCGGAGATAGTCCGGTCACCACGCCCCAGGTAATGGAATCCAACCCATTCAGCATGCCTTATCTTCCCCGTTTTTTGCGGCGATTTGATACCGCGAGCTGTTAATCCCGGACTATGGATGAATGTGACTCTTCTGATGAATCACAGGCATTAGTACAGAGGGATTGTTTTAAGGAGATTTAACTGTTATCATTGCAGCGGTTAATAATTGCGATCAAATTAACCATGGGATCCAGTTAAAAAGCTTTGACTTTGAATTTTAGATTCACCAGAATTATTGTGCTGATTGCAACTATATTGCTGGCTTACAGTTCTATTCAGCTTCCTTTACGGGTGATCTACGTCAAGTAGTAGCCCATGTGGGCGATCGGTATCCAAAAGCCAATGTATATGCTGTTGGCTGGTCTCTTGGGGCAAACATTCTTGTTCGCTATCTTGGAGAGGTAAGGTAATTGAGTTTTGGTGCCTAGTTCTTAGTTGATGTTTTATATACACAAACGCCGTCTCCTATTTACTGGATTTCAATAGTAATGTCTACGATAGGATAATATAGGATCTATGATGATACTTCATATTTAAAATTGAGTCATGAGGCTTTCTTCAGCTTGTTTCTTCTTACCTTTGCATGGATATGGGCCTAGTCCAACAAACACCTAAAAACTTGTTTGCCAATATATTTTCTCAAAATTTGATTCTAAGAGTATGACTAAATCACCGCCTTCCTCAGAGAATCTACTTCTTTTGTTGTATAAGATGGGTTTGCGTTTGAAGGACATTCTGGTGCTGGGGCCATCTCTATCTTAAGAAATACTTTGGTTGTGTTCCCATGTTTTTCTACTACAGTAAGTTTTTTTAACTGCTTTGGTCTTGGTATATGTACTACATAGAAGCAATTTAGTCTATTTGTTGTACTTGCTCTTGGTGAAAATGGGCTAGGGTGGGGGAGGGATCATTTTTTTTCTTCTGGAGCTTTAGATAGCATCGACAGTTTCTATATTCTGTACATTTTGTTGCCCTTTAAATTCCCGATTCACCGTATGCTCATGTTTCATCAATGTTTTCGCAATGTCTTGTTCTCAGGAATCTCATACTTGCCCTCTTTCCGGAGCTGTATCATTGTGTAATCCTTTCAATTTAGTCATTGCAGATGAGGATTTCCGTAAGGGCTTTAACAATATTTATGACAAAGCTCTTGCACGTTCTCTACGGCAGATTTTTAAGAAGTAATCATGTACTTCTTTTCCATGCATAAATAGATTTCTCTCATGCTCAAATTAGAGGCAGAGTTATATCATACTTCATGCAGGCATCTCCTCCTCTTTGAAGACATGGGCGGTGAATATAATATCACATTAGCTGCTAATGCAAAAACCGTCAAAGAGTTTGATGAAGGATTAACCCGTGGTACGTTTTCTTGTTGACATGGATGCCTCTGGTGCTTGTGGGTTCATGTGCCTGCAGGAGCATGTGTACTGTTTTGGACATCAAGTACTTGCATTTTCCAAAATCATTGTAATTTTGTCCTGTGACCATCTCAAAATGTCTTCCTTTTGACCAGAATCATCTCACATTGTTATCATGCTTGCTTGCAGTTTCATTTGGTTTCAAGTCAGCCGATGAGTACTATGCTAATTCAAGCAGTTCGGATACCATAAAGCATGTGTGCAAGCCTTTACTGTGCTTACAGGTTATCAAGAGATTCTCACTTTATGTGTCAGCTTGATGAATTGCCATTGCACCATTTTTGACCAAAAAAAAATAGGAGCTTTTAGATTATTTTTTGTCACATTTACCAAAATATGCATCTGCAGTAGATGAGACCTCTTTGTTCATGTAGAATATATAGATTTGTTTATAGAAGTGGAAGTGATAGTCCTTCGAGTACTTATTGTTACAATGTTTGCGGTCTTACAGAGATAGATTTATATATAAATTATTTATAAAGTTTAAAAAATATGTCAGTTACAGTGCTGAGTTTGTACTTTATATCCTTGCAATTAAATGTTCTGTTTCAAATTGCTACGCTGGTTGAGTCACAGAAAAGTTACATGACCCTTTAAAGGTCCCAATTTCGATAAGGCTGCTTGAATAAGGGCGTGGGCAGGTGTTGAAAACCTGAGATTGGCTAGTTTTTAATTAAAAAGGCAAATTTGATTCTTGGAGCATTTTTTAACGCAAGAAGGATAACAAACATACTTAGAAGCTTGGTATGGTATGGCTCATTGTTTCCCTTTCTAACACCCCCGAGAATCATTTGTAAGTAAAGGTAGAATTGCCGGAATATATGTTTAGTTATTTTGTGGACTATAGTTGGTACTACACATTGTTTAAGTTCTGTAAGGACATATGATACTTCAAGTTACGGGACAAATAACCAAAGAGCATAGAAAAAGTATACTACTGTAGTATACCCCGATTCCTGGATATGATACTATGTTCTGTTGAGCTGGTTATCCTTGAGAACACATTTCGGATTTATGTATTGTACAAGAGTTTCCAGGATTGTAAGTTAATATAAAAGATTATCTGATGAAACACATCCACTCAGATGAAGATCCAAAAATTAAACATTCGATGGACTTATGGTTATCAGTGAAGTTTAGATTACTACATATATCAAAGATCCTAATGTTGAGAAATTGGCTTGCACTGAGAACTCATAGCTTGGAATCATTCTGACTGCCAAAGGGATCAGATTATTTCTCAAGCTCTATTGAATGACTCTGAGTAGTTGAATGTCCTTGAATTGAAAAGTAAAGGGAGAGATATAATACGATTAGGATGCTAATAGAAGTTCGGTAAAAAAAAAAAAACAGCAGATTTGACTGGAAGATTGTGCATAGAATAGATATTTTCTGCTCTCAGTGTACAAATTTTCTGTTCATGCTTATATTCAATAATTAAGGTCTGCTTTCAGGCTGCAAATGATCCTATTGCGCCAGCTCGGGGAATTCCTCGTGAAGACATCAAGGTTCGTCATAAAGATCCCAATCCTTGTAATAAAGGCCTTTTTGTGGCACGACTTTTAACGTCTGAAGTGTCTCCTATCCCTGAACATCTCCCTTGTATTAAGTGTTATATAATTTCAACGCTTTTCCTCCTAGATTCTTGATAGGCCACACAAACGGATGTAAATTTAGTTACTGACCCTCATCCCTGTTCCTTCCTCTTTATGGGCCCGTTTGGTAACGTGCCAAATAGTGAAAATTTCTGTTCTTTTGTTCCCAGAAATAGTTTGGGAACAAAAATGCGTTTGGTAAACTTTTTGCTTCTGGGCACATTTTTGCAAAAATTTGTGCCGAGAAACAGTTTTGGAAGAGAAACAAGAAGTAAAAAAAAGTTGCTTCTTGTTTCTCGGCACAATTTTGAGAATCAGTTTTTTTTCTTCTTTTTCTTTTTTTTCTTTTCTTATTTTTGTGTTGTTCTTCCCTGGGCTGGGCCGGGCGACCGGCCACAGCCCAGGGCCGGCGAGGGCGTCACGGCCCTTGCCGGCCGCGAGCGAGGGGTCGCCTCGCCGGCGAGACTGGACCCTCGCCCGGGCTAGGCGGCCTCGCCCGAGACGGCGAGGCTCGGCCTCGCCCGCAGATCCGGCGAGGCCGAGCCTCGCCGTTGCGACCCACGGCCCGACCTCGCCGTGGGTCGCGACGGCGAGGCCGCCTCGCCCGGGTGGCGAGGTCCAGCCCTCGCCCTCGCCGGCGAGGGCGACCCTCGCCTCCGCCGGCGGCCGACGAGGGCCGTGACGCCCTCGCCGGCCCTGGGCTGTGGCCGGCCGCCGGCCGCCGGCGCCGGCGACCGGCCATGGCCAAAGAAGAAAATGGGTAAAAAGAAAAAAAAAATTAAACAATTCAAAATATTATTAAAATATTATTTGGGAACAGAAATTTTGTGTAGTTACCAAACGCATTTCTGTTCTTTTCTACTCTAGGAATAGAAATTTTGGACAGTTTATCAAACGCCTTAAAATACTCAGAAATTGTTTCCGGGCACAGAATAAAAAGAAATCATTTCTGTTCAGAAATAGTTCCCGGGCATAGAATGGTATTCATGCGCACCCTATATGTCCAGTCCCGTTAAATATGGTGTTAACTGATGGTTAGAGCACCGATTAGTAACTTTCAGTTGCCTCTGTGTCTCTTCCACCAGCAGACCACTACCTGTGATTGTGGGAGTAACTTGATAATATCTCTTTCAGATGGGATATTGTGCATTCATACAGTTTTGTGAGCTTTAGCACCTTGACTATCTTCTTCTGAGGTAGCTAACTTAGTTTACGCCTGGAATGTCTTCATGCTTCTCTCTCAAATCCTCGTTTCACAGTATCTGAAATCATCCCCGCAGTATAGACTGCCATATGAGTTCAGTCAGGTACTGGTCCATCTGAGGAATGACAGATTCTGTAGCTCATGGACAGTTATTTAGTTTAATTTTATCCACTCTCACCATTTTCTGATTTTAAAGGTAACACGCAAGGATTGGTGACATGAATATCTAAACTAAGGACATTCTTATTGGGTGGCATCTTGATAATAGTTCTAGAGAAACACATGCAATGCAACATTTCTTTGGATCAAAAAGTTAGGAGACAACTAGAAGAGAAATGCTATAGGAGTGTCTGCCAAATCGAAACGTCAGCTGAACTTTTTGGTTGAGAAGAGCGAGAGAGCGAACTAAAGCATGTAACGCGCATATTGTTTTTTTTTTTTTTTCTCATTCCAGGGAAATGAAATTCTCCTATCGCCTAAAATGAGATATATGGACACATATAACCACAGGCTGACAGAAGCATGTTCTCGCTGTCTCCCCCAACTAGTACTTGAGCTCGAAACGTCCATAGGACCTAAATTTCTCATTGTTGTCCTTATGTATTTGTGTATGCTGTGCGCATCTGATGTCCTGTTCATATATGTAATCCCTCTCTTCGACGTACTTGTTCTCACTGCAGGAAAATCCGAATTGCTTGTTAATAGTGACTCCAAAAGGCGGTCATCTTGGGTGGGCTGCAGGTGCGGGGGCACCACTCGGAGCTCCTTGGACTGATCCTGTGGTTATGGATTTCCTCGAACATTTAGAGAGACGGGTATCTCAACCCAGTGCTTCTCTTAGCAAAGACGAGGATAGGAAACAAGACGCGGAAAACTTGCATTGCCTAGAGGTCTAATAAGAAACTCTCCTCTCTTGTAAGTGCCTCTTCAATAATCAATCTTGTTTCTTCTTTGCCAAGGCCATCCTGATTATTTAGTGGTTACTCGGAAGCCTAATGAAATAATGCTTCCACAAGTCATGTATTTTGTGGTCCGGCGAGTCAAAGTAACTACTGGTTCGGGACCCACGATTCATCATGTATTATCGGATTTCTTACATAATTCAATGAAATTGCGATTGGTCTACCTGAACAAGACGCGACAATGTCGATCCGGCCTGTCTGTAGCTAATCGCCTCTTCCGTCCATGAGCAGCTATGATCATCATCTTCCCTTTCATCGTAGGATGATTCCGTTTGTATTTCAACTAGAGCCTTTTCAATTCGACCATGCCAAAATGTGTTCTGCATTGTGTGCCCCTGTTTCTTCTCAACTTAGATCCGTCAAAGGGATTTTCCGATAACGACCGGCGTAATCACGTCAATTTTAATCACGCGATGTTCCTTTTCCGCTATTTAGAAGACTCACGTGCACCCAGTCCAAAAAAAGAAGGATCGTAGTTTCCCGCATCCATAGTCGGGCGAAAATTGGACTTCTTCTTGGTGGGTTACAAACGTGGACATCATCAAGTGCGGAGGAAAATGTAATGCAAGGAAAACCAATAGATTTACGCGAAATTGAGTCCTATGCTAGATCATCATCTTCCTTCTCATAAGGCTTAACCAACGAATATCTAATTGTAGTAGTTTGTCTTGAACTCTTGATCGAAGGTCTAATTTTCCTCCAACCAAAATTACCCTTTTCATGATCTTAAAACCTAGCAATTCTGCCTAAAATTCCTGCATTTCCGATTCCAATTTTACCAAGTAATATCCCCGAGTGTGAACTGAGCATAGAGCCACGCTTTGTTCCGCATTCAAAGAAATTACTTTTACCTTTCTCTAAAAAGTGAACATTCTCGAGATTTGCGGGTTTCCCTTGAGAAAGCCAATTTGTAGTCCACAATAAGGGCTAATTCAAGAAAGGTTCTTTTGACTAATCTTCTGTCATTGGGGGACTCCATCCTAATCAATAAAGTTGGTTTGACCCGGATAGACCCAAAAGTCAACTTCGGTCAACAGAGCAATGTTTTACCCCAAAAATTCCAATTTCCCCACTGGAAATTCCCACCGTTTTTCCTCAGCAATTCACATTAATTAAACACATAAAGTTAATATAGACTTAGAAAAGGGGCTCTATCTTGGGGATTACCGCAATGCAAATTGAATGGGTCAATGAGATAATGTTGACGCCGTCTCCTGCCCTACCAATTTCGTGTTGACCACAGCTGGGCCTCTTGCTGAACTGGCTTTCCCACATTCATGGGCCTGATGAGTGACTGGCCTCATCCTCCACTCTTTATAATTAATGTACCTTTTACCATCTGAAAATTGAAAACAAAAGAGAACGCAGTAATTGAAATAATAGAATTTTATCGTGTAGGAGGCTTCATTTGGGCTCCGTTTGTTTCGCGGGAAGTGAACGGTTCGGAAAACATTTTCCTAACATTTCCTGGACGATGAAAGTATTTTTGATTCATTCATTTTTATAAGCGACTTTTCAAGAAAATGGTTTTCCAAGGCGTTCATTTTCTGTGAAACTAGCGCACCCTTATTAGTTTTCCCCTTTATTCTCAAACTTCCCGATGCAAATTTTGTGATGGTGAAATTAGAGGGTTCAAAGTTTCATTTTAAAGCTAGAGAATGTACAATGTGACCAATGGAAAAAGTCGAAGATGTTTTCATTTGTGATTGTTGTTTATCCCCAACCCTAAACATAAATGCGAGGTGTCTATCTATTGAATGTTTTATACCACCAATGTGAGATCCAAGTCTCATACCTTGCAATTACGATGATAACGAAAATAATCGGCATTCGGTTTGGCCTTTGTTACCATTGATGTGTTGGGTTGTGACTACTAATTATTTCGCTAGCCAGGTAGTGAACAGTGACGAGGGCTACATGTGTACCACAACGCTTTCTTAAACGTTTAGTGTGTAAGGAGTGTTAACAGAAGATAATGGAAAAAAGTTTGATTAGAAGTTTTAAAATTTATGTAGCCAATTCATGAGCTTTTCGTTTCATGCAATAAAGTCCTAAGCTTCAATCGAAAAGTACAATAAAGTCCCGAACACATACCGAAAAAAGCGCAAATCACGGCTGTCATAAACAATTCATTTCCGGTACCGCGTAAGCAACTTGAAAAACCCTTTTCCTTAGCTTTTTAAACAAAGGGTTTACATATGCGAAACTTCAAATTTGAAAAAAAAATCTCAAAATGGTGTGAACAACATGCAACGGTCTTGCTCAGAAATTGTTCCATTGCACCCCCTTTATTAAATTGATGCAACATTTAAATGCGAAATTCAATATGTCGTGGCCTATATGTTCGTGCTTGAAAAATTTTCTAACACCAAGAAACTTATGCCAAAACATCGTCCCTATTCCTTACGTTGTTTTGCTCTTGGAGAGAATCTTCTCCCTCAATCAAAGACAAACTTGTGGAGTAGGGTTAGCACAAAAAAAGCCAATGAGTAAACTCGAAAAAGCGTTCTTGGCCTTTTCCTACTTTTCAACCACTCTCCCATTTTGGGGCCATCTTTTATTATTATTATTATTATTATTATTATTATTATTATTTTGCTCATCCCAGGAGAAAAGGGAAATAATTCAATTCATGAAATTTCTTCCCTCACGAGTGACAACAGATGCTCGTCCTTTCTAATATCACTGCCAGCTATCAAACGACCCATAAAAAAAATTAGGGGGAAATTTGAATGCCAGCTGGGACATGACCACCACAAATAATCCAGGAAATAGATTCTAATTAAGCTTTACTAAATTATATGAGAAATAAATGACGTAAATGGGCTATTTTCATATTTTTTTGGCATGATAAATGCAAAAAAATTCATGGGATGAGCTCTATCGTTCTGATAGGATTATGAAGTCTCACGTTATTCAAACATGTAAGAGAAGACTCTAAAGTAATGTTCCGTGGACAATGGGCATAGCTTAGCAGTCTCATAAGTCGTTCGGCCTAAAACTAAGTGAAAAATTAATCGGACTTTGGTTGTTGAAATGGGAAAAATGCCTTTTTAAGTCATGATTTGCTCCCACCTACGCGTTCACACAAGTACTTGGTAATTAAGTTTTCAACGTCTTTTCCCGTCAGTTATGAAATTTGATAGATCACGCCAAAACTTTGTCTGTAATTCAACGTAAGAAAATGTAAATCCATGGACAGAAGCGCCGAATGAAACTAGGCAATAAAGGGTTTATGATGAATGTCACAATTATACTTTGTTTCCCTGCCTGTGAACTGAAAGATGGTCAGAGTAGGTTCTGAGTTTTAGGCTTTTGGTTTGACTCCATGAGAGCGAGGAGGAGCAACGCAGGAATTAGGGAAAAGGCTGTAAAGGCAAAGAAGAGAGGAGACAAATGCGGTTACTGTACGATGGGAAACAAAGGGAAAGAGCAGAAAACAAGGGGGCGATAATGATAAGGTCTTTTTACTCTTTTTATTGTGGAAAGAGGAAGTAAAGTTTCTAACTCCATTCAAACACGCACAGGAACAGGGTACAAAGTCAGGTTAAAAAGCAGAGGAGGAGAAACAAAAGATGGGAAAAAAGGAGCTTTATCTAGCTTTTGGACAAAATTCTTGCTTGATTAGGAAGAAATGGAGGATGCAGAAGATTGCGAAACTCTAGCGAGAGGAGATGGAGATTGAGTGTGAAGGAAAGTGCGATACTCATATTCCTACTTGTTACAACCTTTTTGGGATGTAGTAGGGGGGAAAAAGGTTTGCAAATCAAGATCCAGCTTAGATGGTTGGGTTTTGAACATATTGGGAAGGTGGAAATGGAATTTGATATGATGGGTGCCAACACCAACAAAAAAAAATCTCTGATTTTCATTTAAACTTATTGATGCTGCTCCTTAGATCTTTCATTAGTTTTCATCTCCATGGTCGGTTCGGATTATAAACTGATTAGGGTTTCGAGTTTTTTTTAGTAGTGTGGGGTTTTATGTTCAATTCATTCTCGGCACAACCACTCAAGGCTAGACTTTAAGGGATGTACTTAGTAAAGGATGTGGTCTGCTTTGGATCAATCCGGACACGGCTACTTAGTTAAGCGTGCGAATTAAATCTTGTGCTGTTGATATCATGGGCATATGATACATGGATTTGGAGTGGAAATATTTCACCCTAAAATTTCACTCTATCTTGATACAGATAAATGAACTCCATTTTAGAAGAATACAGCATCACATCTTCTGTTCTGAACCTCCAAAAGAATCCAGAAGACATGGTCTAACCCCTCCATTCTCTCTCTCTCTCTCTCCTTAGCAACACATTTTCCGAAAAACAAGTGAAACCAAGAAGAACCTGAGGCCTCTTGCAGAGAAAAGAGGAGGGTGAATTGTGAGATGTGAAATATGGACCCAAAAGGGCTAGGGTTAGGGTCAACACAAAAAGGACCTTTTGCTGAAACATTTTCTTGGAATCAGGGGAAAAAGGAAAAGGAAAAATGTGTGTGAGAGAGAGAGAGAGAGAGAGAGAGAGGGGGGGGAGGTGGGTGGGGGAGAGGGGGAGGAGAGAGCTATATCAGGCTTTTTGTGGACCAGAGAGCACCTGAACGAACAGCAGGAAGCTGACTCCAAGACTTCAAAAGAAAAAGAAAATTTGTCAGTCAGTCTTTGCCTGTCGTCATCTCGAATCCCCCGCGAGCTAAGTAAAAAGAGCAAGAGAACAAACGCAAAAAAATAACTCAATAAACAGAAGTAAATAATTGCACTGAACGAGGGGGGCATTTTAACCTTTTCCATGCACAAAAGTTAAAAGTAAGAGTAAGTATCCGATATACCCTCCTCGATTCAAATATATATATATACACATAAACTATTTTTGACACGAAGCCCATGAATTAGCTCATCGACCCAAGATGTGGTTGACTTGTTGTTGGTGTGTTCTTTCCCTCTGTAGTGCATCATCGTGTCACGACTCACGACTCCATCACCAACACACACCCTTGCATCACATGCCCTACTCGTTTGTCTTCTTAGGCAGCTTAGGGTTTCTAGGGTTTCTTTAGTTTTTCGGCAGACAAAAACGTTAGGCAAAAGCAAGGGGGTGAAAGTGGGTTAGTTAGATTTGTCATGTGAGGAGCACTACAGAGACGCTGACAGAGAAAAATAAATATGGTCTGTGGTGATCCTTCTTTTCTTAGTCTATTTTTAATTAGTAAGAATATCTACGAGGGAATCAATTGGGTTTTGCACAAATGAAACAAAGAGATGATAGCACAAATGGTCCATAAATTTTGATTTAATGTGCAATGTCATCCATGAACTTTTAATTTGTGTAACGTGATACCTGAACTTTGGTTTAATGTGCAAATGCTCAATGTAGTTCGTAGAATATATGAAAATGTTTACTGGTTCAGGGACCGTATTGAATAGTGAACCAAAGTTTAGAGACTATATTGAACAAATTAAAAGTTCAGGGATGATATTGCACATTGAATTAAAGTTCATAGACCATTTATGTCATTTTCCCTACAAGAGAGGAATGAGATGCGAATGCTAGCAAAGGATTTTGCTTGAGTTAGCAGTTTAATGTTTTTGATAATCATGAGTTAAATTCTGACTTCAATTGGGAGTTGTATGGTTAGTTTAGCTTAATTGGTCTATATGGAATTTTAACCGACATAATTATCAAATTTTTTCTTTTTGATTTAATTGTAACAGTATAAGTTATACATCAAGCATATTAGGGTATTCCATAACATCACCATTCTATACTACCGGCAAGAGCTACTTAGGTACCGACAATGTGCAGGATACCATGTCTTAATCGCAAAATATACAATTTAGCAACTTCATTACCTCTTCTTAACTTTCTTTAAAAATCACAAGAATTATGATTGTCATAGGTCCAACATTCTCTAAGAACTTCTAAGTACACCCTGTAAAGCACAAGATGTCAAAACTAATCTTGCATTTTTACCAAGGACCAGATATCAGGTTTTTACTTGATTTTCATGAGGGATTTGGACAAGAGGGAGAGAATAGAAAGGGCTAAGCTACAGCATGTCACGTAGGCATGTCATCAATAGCGAAGGCTTTTCATGAAAGAGGCAAATCGTCTCTTCCTTGAAAAGAAAAATGCGTATGTGATCGTTACATATCAGAGATATAGGGCAGGGAGAGAGAATATCTCAATATATTCACCAGATAAATAGATTGGTCCATCCATCTAGCATTACAAATGCAACTTCACATATGTGTTGAGGTCATATAGAGTTGATTTTGCGACTTTTTGTGCTTATCGAGTTCATTGGCTGAAGTGAAATTAGAGGAAATATGTTCAAAAGCTAAGCACATACTGATCTCCTCCTAATTTAAAACAGTGGAGGGTGGTTTATGAATTTTGCTATGATAATTTTGAAATAATCCTTCGCACGATTGGGTTTTATTCTTCTTAAGAAACCGATTAACTCTCCCACTTCTAATTTAGGCTCCGTTTGTTTTGCGGAAAATGTGATATCTACGAATATTGTTTTCCAGGAAGTTATTTTATGAGAAAATAACAATATTTTCCGATGTTTGGCCGAGACATGAAATGAATTGGAAACTAATTTCCGTCATTTGGTAAGGAAAATCTCATTTGGTCCGAAATTGTTGATGTGAGTGCTGGCCATCTTATGGGTACGACCGTGCTGACATGGACGATTTTTGTAATTTAAAAAAATCAGAATTTTTAATAATTATTTTATTTTATTTTTCTTTTCTTTCTTTTCATTTTCCTTCTTCCTCCATCGGTTTTTGGGCTTTGGCGACAGGTCACAGGCGAGGGTTGACCTTGGGCAAGCTTGACATCACTGGGATCTGGCGAACTCGAGCTCAAGCTCAAGCCTTGCCTGAGGCCAGTGAGGTCAGCCCTCGCCGGTCTTCTCTTTTGGCTGGTTGCTGAGGCTTGGTGACCGGCGGGGGAAGAAAGAAAAAGAAAAAGAAAGAAAGGAATAAAATAAAATAAAAAAAGATAATTTAAAATTCTAATTTTTTTAAAAAAAATTGTAAAAATAATCCATGTTAGCATCGACCGTGCTACTGAGAGTCAAGACGGCCGACGTTCATGTCAGCAATTTCTGGGCTTAGTGTCTCGAGCACCAGTGTTCTAGAAAAATGATTTTCGATTTTTGAAAGAGAAAATGATTTTTCTAAATGTATGTTTTAGTAGGAAAACCCTTTTTGTTGACTAGGAAAACATATGTGACTACTTTTCCTGAGCGCAACCAAATGCCAAAAAATGAGGAAAATGATTTTCCCAAAAATGTTTTCCACGAAACAAATGAAACCTTAGTCACTTTGCCTTTTTCCCTCATTGGTTAGCTTCGTTCAAGCTAATTTATATGCTAAGACACATGTATTCATATCTTTCTGTTTGCATGTGTATGTTGGTAAGTCTGATATACGGTAATTCAAAGACCACTTAACTTTTACGCTCCACGTGGAAAGGAGTAGCGTGTGGGGGCATTTTTGGTACGCGTGATGAATTGTAGGGACAAGGTGGTCTTAAATATTATTGCCTCTTTTTGTCCTTTTCCACTCTCCTTCTCTCCTTCCTTACCCTTTTTATCTCCATCACTTTCCTTCTCAATTCTCGCACACAACCTCACCCCCATCTCTCTCTCTCTCTCACTTCTCCATTATCACACAACTCTCTCTCTCTCTCTCTCTTTCAAAATCAAAGACAATTCCAAGCATCTCTCTTGGGCTGCAGACAGGAGGGGGAAGCCAATCTTTTTGAGGGGAATGTTGTCTGGCTCGAGGTCGCGAACCGTAGATCCGCCGTTTTTCCTCTCCAATCTGGTCAATTGTCCTCTAGATCTTCGGATCGCCGCTCGAATCGGTCACCGATCTAGCGTTAACGACGTCGGACCAGGCTTCATTCCCCCCAATTATTGCTCTTCCAATCTTCAAGAACGTCTCAAACGCCTGAGGTAACGAGAGTTTGAGCATGATCCTCTTCCTATCTCAAAAAGGTCGGATTTTTATAGGGCTACATGGAATATTTATAGAGATGTAGGTTGTTGTTACTTGTATGTGCATGAGCAGATCATTGTGTAATGATGATGGGTTTTGACTATCTTTTTGTTTTGTTTTTTTTTTTGGGTTCTTTTGGGGTTCTGACTGAAGCGGAAAAGTTTCATCATTACGCTTTGAAAGATTCACGGATGGGTTGTTGGGATTTTTTTTTTTGGGGGTGTTCTCTGTCAGTCTCTGTTTTTTTCTTTGGTTCAAACCGAGTTGAGATTCAGATTCATCATTGGACTATGATTTTCTTCATGATGCTTTGAGCATCTTCTTCTCTGTCCGTTTCTGCTGCTCCTTCGCTCGCTTTCACTCTCTTCACGTCTGCCGCAGAAAAATTCGAACTTTAGGGTTTTCAATTTTTTTTCTCACACTTGTCTTTTTGATCTACAATTGTCATGTTCGCATGTGATCTCACTGTATAAGATTAAAGTATTCTTCGACAAGAGTCAGATGATTATCACTTTATCGGTCTTAGTCAAACAACATGGCTGGAGGCTGTTTCTGTTTTTTTTTTTTTTTGAGGATAAGTTAAAGGCTGTTTCTTTACTGAAATTATTAGCATAAAAGCAAGAATTCTCTGCACCATGTTTCAGGCTCATGTGGATCTATCGCATGAGCACTAGTTCTTTGTCTTTCTCTATGTTTTTTTTTGTCATGACCATTCAATGTTCTGCAACTTTGATGGAGATGCATGGGTGGTGACATGAACTGTTGCTATAGTAGCAAAATATACAGCCCTTGGATCAGATTGTTTCTCTGCATCATATTTATCACTTACTATATTGGAATGTCGATATTTTTAATCACATGTACAATGTATGACGCAAATCTTAGTCATTAAACAGTAGCTTAGTTTATGTTATTGGATGAGAAAGAGGGAGATCAGTTCCTTTGCTTGGTTTCGTCACTGAAAGCAGCATTGGCGAGAACTTGCACTGAAGAAGATCGACTTCTTCGTGTCTATGTTTTTTCTCTTTGTAATCACTCGGAAAATGGCAATGCATCGTTATCCATTGTTGCAGAAACCCTATCAGCACCTGGGGGATCTGATACCACAAAGAATTACGTTTTGAATAACTTTTTCTTTTATGTAGGGGCAAGAAAGAAGGAGAGGCGAGTGATGTGATTTGTGATGAATGATGGGACCTCTGATGTTGCTAGACCTTCTAGTGTTGTCTTGTGCAAGAAGAGTTGCTTTGTACTACTCCACATGAAATGAACACTCTCCATTATTTTATTAGAAAACCGCTACCCATTTGATTTAATTTAGGAACACATTAAATAAAGGAATCTCCGCACGTAATTTTTGGAAACAACTTTACTAATATTTTTTTTCGTGGAGAGAAATTTGTTTATCCATATCCACAATGACATACGCTGGGCATATCAAGAGACACAGAATGATTTGATTTATAAACGTAGAGAGCAAGGAGTTTTCTGAGTTTGTTCCCTTGACAGTCTTAAAGAAAGAACAGATGATAACAGCCAATCCCATTTCTGTCCATGAATCAAACATATTCCTATGTGTCATCTTGTTTCCTTTACCTCTGAGTTCTTCAGTTAGGGTTTAGAGAGACAATGTGATTATAAAGGAGAACAACCAGGAGAGGAACGTCATCAAGAGGAAACAATGATCTGTTTTGTTCTTGTTAATGATGATGTGATTTTAGTGCTGTGTGCATCATTCTGCCATCAATTTCTGCAGCCAAGAGAAGACCACACTGGGCTTGAGACTGTGTCATAAATGGCTCCTTCTGACTACTCACTCTCTCTCTCTCTCTCTCTCTCTCTCTCTCTCCTAATAGATTTTCTCTCTCTTCCACATACACACAACGAAGTGGAGTCAACATCAGCATTTACCACGGGAATTCACCTTTACCCAGAAGACTGTGATCATTAATTCATCATGGATTACGATGTATCCTCTGTGCATTTGACAGTGTACTGATGCATGTAAACATTTTTCTTTTTTGGTTTGAATCTCATCAAAGATGGTGAAACAGCCAAGTCGTTTTCCCAATTAATTATCAGTAGTCATGTTCATATCACGTGAACTATGTGTCCATGTCCATACGAAATTTTGGTTCATATATGGACACGACACTACAAGTACAAACGCTCGTTCTATGATTAATACGTGGGACGGTGACCTAGATAAGTGCTTTGTAGATAAACTATCGACGCGAAATGGCTCATGAGAGCAGATGCAAAGACTTGATGTGTTCTTGTCTGTCTATCTATCGGCTGTGTATATGGGTTACTTTTGTTACTATGTAGAAACTGAATAAGATGCACTAATTGGGATTTGTGCGGTGCGTGCACATTGCTCCATGAATTTGAACTCAATTACCTGAAATCTTTGTTTTATTGATTGTTTGCTTTATATTCTTTTTAACTTGCTCAATTAGGATATAGTTCCAAGGCTACTCTGCACTGTTCTTTTGGAATTTGATCTGGTTTGACTTTCTTGGAACTGAGTTATATTGACTCGTTATGTTTGTAACCACCTTATGCGACATTTTCTTGCTTAGATTCTCGCGCGCGCGCACGCCATAGTTTTGTGATCATACGAGAGATGAGAGATAAAACATCCAATCAATACAAAGTAGTGAAAAGAAGATGAAGGTCTTGTTCTGCGTGGTTAAAAAGAAAATAAGGAATTGATAAGAGTGTATGTATGTACATTGAATTGCGGAAAGGAGGGGAAAGAAGAGGTTCATGATCTGAACTCAACGTGAAGTAGAAGTAGCAATTCATGGCTCATAGAAAAGTGAATCCACAAAACCTTTATCTTTCAATATTCTCTTCCTTTAATAAACCTTTTGTCGTTTTAAAGTGATGCAGAAATAGAACTTCAGCCGAAAGTGTGACCAAGACCATACTTTCTTCTCTTTATTAATCTCATAGTCCATTAATTCCTTCATCTTTTCCTTTTTGAAGTTTCTTCGTTGTTTTCACAAATTCAAACAAGGTGCATGACAAAAGATTAGTGGAAGAGTGTGCACATTGGGGGTTGACAATGTAGTAAGTTTGGATTAAAAAAAACAGGGTATATTAGAAGAAACTGGCTGAAATAGTGACTACATAAGTTTGTCGTCGAGAAATTTTTTTTTATAGAAAAAGGGAAATTTTCATCCCTGAAGAACCTTATATATGTGCACCAATTTTGGCATTGCTAGTCTTTGTTGCCGTTTATACCTTTCAACTTCAGTGCTAATGGTTTGTCACTCCGTCGCTAATGTGTTGCCTGCATCAAGTCGTAGCAGACACAGACATTCAGCGACAGACATAGCTTTGGTCCCAAACTGTCCGTTCATTCATTCAAAACCCTCAAACACAAGAGCGAGCGACATGTTCTAAACTTCAACTATCTTCGTTTACCAAAAGAGTGACAGACCTGGACAATTTTTTCGTTAACAAAAACCAAACCCTAGTGACTTACTGCAGATTAGTCGCCATGTTTCTGAATTAAAAAAAATTATGAAAGAAGTCCCAGAAGATCTTTATAAACAAACTCACCTTCCCAATATTTATACCTATACATAGTAAAGAAGATCATGTAAACGAAATCTCTTTAGAAAACATTTTAAAGTAATAGGACTAATTAATAAACTGATATCATAATAAATGATCCTAGAATGATTCTCATTTGCAATAATTCTTACATGCACTTTGGTTTACTTTTAACTTCAGCTGATAAATTATATTACTTAGATAAGTGAAAATCTTCGTGTTAGCCAAACACAATGAATATTTACAAACATCTGTTGGGTCTACAACCTTTTTTTTTCATTTGAGGGGACTGAGATATATACGGTGCATGAGATTGGATTGTTTTTTTTTTTTTTTTTTGGTTTGTCCTATCTCTGACTCTCATCACTCTCCGACTTTTGTTCTACTTCTTACAGAATGCGGGAGTCGAACCCCACACCTGTGATACTAGAGTCGGGCTGCATGCCTTTATCAATAGAGCTGCATGCCTTTTGGCATGAGACGGGCATTCCGCTTGTAGATTAATTAAGACGTGAGTTTTTTGCATTAATTACATCATTGTGGCTCCTCAATAGCTAAGAAAGTTATGCCCTCGCGAATGAACTAGTAAAGATAAGCCTAATGAACTGGGTCGGCCTTTGGATATAATCTTCTTTTTTTCTCGGCCCTGCCCAAGGGTGGGCTTGATTTATGAGCTTGTTTGTCTCTCTCAAAGGGCCAAGAAAATGGCTGAAGCATGCACAATTGCGCATGCACATTAGGCGGGGCCGTTTCTTTAAGGGTCCATTACTATGTTTTTTTGGGCCACAGAATCCAACGTTAGGGCTAGACCTGTCAAAATTAGGTTAAAAACCCATTTAATAACCCATTAGTATTTAAATGGCTCATAACAAACTTTGCAAGCCAGCATAATGAATCTATAACATTGGAGGCCAAAATAAGTGGGTTATAAATGGGTCCATTGTGAACCCATTAACAACCCAATAAGGCTTAACCCATTTAAGATGCCTCTACCTTTTCAGGTCAAGTCATAAGTATTTTTATAATTTTTTTTTAAATTTCCGACTTATTATTTTTTTTTGTTATTTTTTCTTTTTCTTTCTTTCCTTTTTTACTTCTTCTACGTCTGGTGAGGGCCAGCCGACACTCGGCGGTCGTGAGCGAGGGCTTCGCGGCCCTTGCTAGAACTAGGAAAGGGCCTGCCCCTTGTGATGTAGAAGAAAAAAAAGGAAAAGAAAGAAAGAAAAAGAAAAAAAAAAGAAAAAATCATAAAATTTAAAAAATAAAATATATAAAAATTAGGTATTGTTTTCCATATTATAAAAAATTAAAAACGAAAAGAAGGAAAGAAAAAAAATTGTCCACTATAATTTTATTGCATGGAAGCGTTTTAGCAATATAATTTTTTGAAAAAAAGTTTACCTATATTGGATTAAATATTGAAGTGTTTTAACAATATGAGTCGGGTGAGTATGGGTCGAGAAATTTGCATTACGAGTAAATGTGTTAATTTGGGTTAGATCATTCATGACTCGACCCAAACCCGACCCGACCTACTTGTTTAACATGTCTATTTAGGGTTGCAAGTGAGTTGATCGAGTTGAGTCGATACAGTGTTATGCTAAGACTTAGTTCGACTCTTGTACTCAGTGCTCAAAGCTTCACTCAATCTTGATGGAGTGATAAAACTTTTGCTCGTGAGCTTGATTCGAATAGGCCAAGATAGTTCACCTCGACTTGACTCAACTCGATTACAGTTAAGTTATTAAAAGAAAAGTGATCAAGCTTAATAAGTAGGAAATGTTTTCCGTGCATTTACTTTTATAAATGGGTATCTCATTGTCGCGACCTCACCTCCAGCGCAGGTTGCCACCTAGGCGTTCAGTTAATGGATTTTTAAGTCTAAGCCTAACTCGGGTTCTCCCAAGCCCTACCAATTCGCAACTTAGGGTTTAAGTTCTTAACATGCAAATGTTTTCATGTTGGAGTCACCACTAATCTATTTGCGGTGGATCAATTAAAAACCCAAATAAAACATAAGGAGATATGTTTATTTCTACGAACCAGAGATTTTGAGTTCAGGGACTTGGTTACGCCAGATTTAATCTAGTGCCCTTTCGGTACATTTTCTTTTAAAAAAAATGTTTAAGCAGGCAGTCTGGGTGACTATGCGAGTGCGTAATCCAACAATTTAACACCTAATAAAGAAAGCAGCAAATAAATTACTAGCTTAAGAAAACAACGTACCTTTTAGCAATATAAGCATTTGCAATGTTAGCTAGAAAATCGTACAAATAACCCTAATATGATTTCTAATTAACAAGCAATTCACTCAACGTATTTTTTGTGTTTTCTCTTTATTAAAATGAAAACTAACCCAAGTGCAATGACGTGCAAAATATGACATGCGATTAATTAAACTTAGCATGCAAACTATATGACATGCGATTAAATGACCTACATCTAATGACGAGCGCATAATGTATTTTTGGTATTTTTCATTAAAATTCGGAATAATAAAAAAAAAACGCTTAAAATAACATGCAATCTAACTTATCCTAAAATGACATCTTTTTTGACATTTTTTTTATGAAAATTCGAAATAATTAAATATCCTAATTAATCTATTAAGACTAGAATAATCTCTAATTTGAACTAGGAAATAAACTATCCTAAATCCCAATTTAAATCAGAGAAATGTCCTATCTTCTAGATATAAATATGCAATGTTTCTAATTTAAAACCTAACTAATATTTTTTTTTGATTTTCTTTTTAAAGGAAATAAATCAAATAAAGATAGCAATCACACGCCAACCACCCACGCGATCCGCAAAATCCATTAATCATGTTCAAATTAGAAAAATGACTCGGGCTAGCGATCATATCCACGAGGTCGTGGATATCGATGGAAAGCCGACCGTTTGAATTTGGAAAGCAAATAAAATCTGTTATCGTATCCAAGTGGTTATGTATAAGATAAAGATTTCCGTACCACCGTGTATCGCATTTTAAGGTCAAGGTCAGATAGTCGTCCGGGTATGTTGCTAAATTAGGAAAAATTCCTAATTTGGGGTGTTTTAAATGTAGTGGACATCATACATTCACCCAAAGATAGCAAATATTGCATAAAAGATAATAAAACCAATCAAATTAGGCAATAAAATATACGAATCAATATTGGATGAGATCTTACCTAATTTGCAGATAATTTCCAAATTCGAACTCAACATTGAATCGGGATTGCGGATCACAATCGAGGGCAAGGTGGGTCGTGGTTCTCGATCACGGCTTGGGATTGTTGGCAAACCTTGGCTCGATAATGGATCGGCTACGACACGGCAGGGAGACGATGAAAAGAATTGTTGAGTCGAGCTTGCTGGAATGCTTGCTATGAACTCGCTGGGGTGATTTGCCTAGCCGAGGAATACATTGATCTAGAGTGGAAGCTACTGTTGTACTGGACCGTCGACTTGGTTGAACAACGAGCAAACGCTAGAGAAATTGGATCGAGCGACGCAAGGCAAGGACTGGAGCCTGCCTATTTACTGATTTTGCTGCAAGAGTCGCTGGAACACTGAATCGCAATGGCACGGACTTGAAGTTTTGGAGCGTAAGGTGCCGCTGATTTGGAGCACAAGAAGCAGCGAGACCCAAGTGATGGCGTTGGTGTGAGCGGTTGACAACGCAACAGTGAAGAAAACTCCAACTTTTGACTTTTCCCTGCACTTGCTCTCCCTTTGTGAATTTCTGTGTGGTATCGACGTCCCCTCTCAAGTGTCGGAGCCCTTGTAAGTGAGAATATTACAGAGAAGGAGAGCTCTCTCACGAATGTGCTCTCCTTTCCTCTCTTTTGGCCGTGAATT